GCAATCCCCATTCCGTGAAAGTCGTACAACATTGTGCAACCATGCAGCTCTGTACCACCTGAGCTGATCAGACCAGCAGAAAACACACATCATGCAAGCAACATGCACTGAACTGTCAAGGCGCTGCTTGGTGATCTGACCATTGAGCTCTTCAAGGGTCCTGCAACACGCCAGTAGCGCAAGGCCGACAAACTAGAAAGCTCCAACGTGCCACCAGGCCTCGCAACATTCACGCAACAAGCTGGGGCAAGGAAGCCGCCCGTACGAGCTTGCGAACATCAAAGAGAATAACGAGTGAGGCCATGAGGCCATGAGATCATGAGTGGGTAGAGGGCCAAGTCACAAAACCACAACATGGGAAACATTGTGGAAACCTTCTGTGGGGACATTTTGTTATTTCTGTTCACATCCTCAGCGTTCGCCGGCGCACTGCAAGTAGAACCGCGGCGGCGGCCACAAGCCTCCAGGCCGAGATGTGCAAAATGGCGCAAGAACGTTGTGCGTTCTGGAATGTCCTGACTCGGTGTCCCACCTGGACATGGCACCCGTGACTGCGCTGGCACAGGTGGCTTCATCAGACGATGCGGACGCTGGCGACATCTGCGAAGCTGAGCCATGCCACATCAATCCATAAACTCCAACAAACTCATCACAGCATCTGCAGCCACATGGATCAATGTAAGCGGCACGACCGCGATTTTTCATGATTGTCTTGCACCACCATAATTTCACGCAAGGTCACAACGCCAGAGCATGACATGTAGCTCCAGTCTACACTGGTGTGCACCTCTCCGCAGCTTCCTGGCCACGGGGCAGCCGCATCAGCTGCCTTGTCCCGGAGCTGCCCTTCACTAAGATGCTCTTACATACGGCAAAATGCCCTACTTCACAGTAAGAATTAGTAAGAATACAAAAAGAACATAATCAGCGTACACCGGGTGCTTCTGAGACCAGGCGAAAGAAGCGCGGACCGAGTCCAACTGTCCCGGCCTGCAGCGTGGCCGGCGGAGCAGCCCGCCGGTCGTCGGGGAAGTCTGGCCACCACTCCTCGGGTGCGGTGATGTCACGGTTTCTACAGACTAGGGCTTAGGGTTTGGGGTTCAAGGCTTCGGGTTTCGGATTTCGGGTTGAGTTAATTCATTAAGGGACATACTCTACTTCAGTTGGGAGGTGTACAGGCGGACCAGAAGCTTGGAAACCCCCAGTTGCAAGCTTTCTGACTGGGGGCTCGGACGGATTATGATTCTATTCTATTACAACTACATTAGTAGAGTATGTGATAAATACTTGAGGGACACAGCCGAAGACGATGAAAACTAGACTGGATTGACGCCAATATGGGTTCACCACACCGCGACACCACCACAACACCACGACCTCCACACTCCACCCCACACCGCCACACGTGATCCGCGGACGACGGCGCATCTATCGCCACCCCCCCTGTTTTTCAGACTTTGAAGACAACTTGAAGGCAATTACCGGTAGATTCGAGGAATCTCGATAGATTCGACGAATGGTGACCCCCTATCCTCAGCAAACAGCCCGCATTCACCTGATAGATTCTGGACCTCCCCCCCCCCCCCCGACAGTTTCATGGCTTGCAGAACTCCAGCGGAGCTGGTCAAGTTCCCTGCCAAAGCAGAGACCACCTCAAGCCTAGCTACGGAGCTTTCGTGACGTTTTATTGTGTATTTTGTCATTTACATTATTGTCTTTTGTACATTGCATTATATATCTAGTGGTTTAGGGGTGGAATCGAGTTTAAGACATTTTAGACTTCTTCTTACATCTTATACATGACATCTTGCACTTCGAAGGTTCCCAGTCGTCTGGCCTCCCTTCGTTACAGGAGTTCCAGGCTCGCCAGACCTGGGCACAAGCTTGTTTTTTGATGCAACGTATCAAGAAAAAGAGATTCAACAGAGACAATTCGCTTGGGGACTTCGCCACAGCTGCTATCCTGCTGCCAACTGAACATGAATGTTACTACTACCACTACTACTACTACTACTACTACTACTACTACTACTACTACTACTACTACTACTACTACTACTACTACTACTACTACTACTACTACTACACACTACTACTACTACTACTACTACTACACACTACTACTACTACTACTACTACTACTACTACTACTACTACTACTACTACTACTACTACTACTACTACTACTACTACTACTACTACTACTCTACTACTACTACTACTACTAACTACTCTACTACTACTACTACTACTACTACTACTACTACTACTACTACTACTACTACTACTACTACTACTACTACTACTACTACTACTACTACTACTATACTACTACTACTACTACTACTACTACTACTACTACTACTACTACTACTACTACTACTACTACTACTACTACTCTATTGCTACTACTACTACTGGTTCTGCTACTACTACTACTACTACTACTTCTACAACTACTACTACTACTACTCTACTACTACTACTACTACTACTACTACTACTACTACTACTACTACTACTACTACTACTACTACTACTACTACTTCTACTACTACTACTACTACTACTACTACTACTATTACTACTACTACTACTACTACTACTACTACTACTACTACTACTACTACTACTACTACTACTACTACTACTACTACTACTACTACCTACTACTACTACTACTACTACTACTACTACTACTACTACTACTACTACTACTACTACTACTACTACTACTACTACTACTACTGCTGCTACTTCTACTTCTACTTGTACTTCGGCCAAAGACGTCCCCCGACGCAAAACCTGAATTTTCTCTCGCAAGCTTCTAGACACACACCGGCATAGAGAATAGAAACAATGAGAAGGCCCTCCGGCCGAAGACGTCCCCCAGCGCAAAACCTGGATTTCTCCTGCAAGTTTCTAGACACGACTTTCACAACAAGAGAATTGAATTCACACCAGTGGCACCCGTCCAATTCTGAGCGTCCCGCATGACAGTGCCTGATTTGCCGAATACATCAAACATTGGAAGCACCGCGGCAACTGTGTTGACGTCGAAACACTGTGCAAGTGGACAAATCCAGAAAAATGTCTAAAGATTCAATATCAGAGAGAATACTCCTTGCGGCAAAGTTGCGTGATGGGCCCACGAATCTCGAACCAGACATCCACCCCACTGCTGCTGACCTCGCGGAGGTGACCAGGTGCCAGCACCTATTTTGATATCACTTTGCAAAGTTTGCAGATGTCCGCGCACGGCCCCCTTTGCTCACGCCTCGTTCAAGCCGTCGGGCCGCAGCTCGATGACCTCCCGTAGCACTGAGTGGATGAGACTGTCACAAGATCCGGAAGCACTTAAGTCACTGATGATTCCTGCACCTCTTCTCCACGCCGAGTCCAGGCGGAGCGGTTCTTGCGATCGACACCATGCACCTGTGCGGGACTGGACGGTGGGACCATTGAGGTCGTTCGGCTTTTGGAACAAAGTGCTAACTCCATCTCTTCCTGTCGTCCAAAGAAAGACTCGTAAGAGTTACCCCCTCACACTCAGATGGACTCGGACAGCCTTGCGGCCACCTGGCTGCGACCGGAAGCGGACCTGCACTGAAAACCACTGCAGGATGCAGGGCTCCCAACTCTCAAAACACACAAACTTCTTTATTCCGGTTGCACCTACAGAGGTATTCTTCGAATGCTGACCACTTCAAGCAACAGAGGCATTGGGTTCGTGGCGTGCTGGAAGGCTCTGAAGAGGGTTGTCACACTGAACCATTGGTTTTACGCATAACAAGATCAAACACAGAGCGAGAAACACGGCTTCCACCATGGCTCCAGTGGCTTGGACAGTTGGCCAGCAAAGCATCATGTCACATGTTTCAAACTCGACTTGGTGTCAGCACGAACCTACAGGCACCAACACGGAATTCGACATGATCTGAATAAGAGTGAACTACGACTCGCGAGTACCAAGCTACCAAGTATTCTGAGTTGCTTGATGTTGCTTGCCCATGTGAAAGCAGGCCAAACCGACCTGAATCCCTGTACTGCCCGAGGGGAGAATCTTCGTGGCTCCGAAGCGCCCGCAAAGAGCATCTTCCCAGGAGTTCCACATCTGTTCCTGCTCAGGGCAGCTGAGGCCAAACGGTGAACTTTGAAACTGCGGCTGCAAGACAAACTAAGCCAGCAGATGCAAGCAGTGCCAGTCGGCAAGCAAATCAGGTCTCATAACGCCGTCACGCTGTTTGTGAATGCGCGTCAAGTGGTCGGGAGCGGTCCTCTCCATGCTCGTCTATCCATCTGACCTTCATGCTGATCCTGGCAACGTGCAACACCGGTGTCACAATTGTTGTTGAGATTGCTGTCTATACCGTGAACAGCTGCATGCACCGGCGAACTTTGCTCACGTATCCAGTCTGTTGCAGCCAGAGCATCTGCGTGAGCTTGTCGTAGCCTTGAGAAGTACACACGTCGCACGCATTGCATGCGAAACCTCTACGCATTCGATCTGGCTATCCGTCACATGGCTTTCAACTGCAACCGGAACACACTGAGCTGCCTTGCACCCCCATGCCACCAAGAGATACAAGAGTAACACAAATGGCTGCCGAAGGGTGCCAAGGAGCTCTTGAGTGTCAGCCGCAGCGGTGGCGGCGTGGGCCGCATGCCCGAAGAAGCCATGGCCAACCATTGGGCTGTGGCAGGTGGAGCGACGGCAGTGAAGAGTGCCGCGGGGTTCGCCGGGCAACGATTTCGGAAATTGAGGTATCGAGGCTCGAGGCTAGTCGGTTAAATCATCTGAAACGAGCATCTGACAAGAAGCGGACACTAATCCGCCAAAATGCCAAAGCCTTCGAGCTGCGCTCACTGCTCAAGGCTGCGGTTAGAACCGTGCAAGGTCAGTGCCCATTGTCAAAGCCCCGGAAATCCCGAAACTCCCGACTTGCTTGGCACGATCTGAACTTGAGGGCAGGGACGAGTGCAAAGCTGAGCCCAGCGGCATTGATGAAGATTCCTTTCAGGCCGCTTTCACCCGCAGCCGGAGGGCAGGTGCCCATTCGCACCTTGGAGCGATCCCTGGTGCTTCTGGAAGTTCGGGATTTCCAGGAAGTTTGGGAAGATTAGGAGCCGAATTTCACCATCAACAGGGTGTCGGACCAGGATGTCCGTCTCCGTCAGCTGCGGAGCTGCCAGGCCAGAGCAGTGCGGAAAAACAGAGTCAGCTACAGTGGAATATGTGGAATAGAGTGGAGCTCGGAAGTAAAGGCCCTTGATGTCCTTGGCTGGATCAATCACAAGCCGTCAAACTGTGTGCCTTCTTCCACCTCTTCTGCAGGCTCAGCGGCATCCTCGGTTTAGACATATCTAGAAATGGGATGACACAATGCACGCATCTGCAAACGAAGTATACGCAAGACTGCTGAGTGTGGCGCCGCAGCTTCTGCTTCTTCGCCCTCTGGCCTCGGTACTTCGTTCACTGCGTGCGACCATGCAATGCACTGGCAATACTAGCCGCGTGCTCATCTCAGTGCGTGACGGCGCTTCCGCCTCCTCATCTGGGGCCCTTGGACCAGTGCAAGATAGTGCGAAATAGAGCAAGGATAGAAAGGCCGCACATCCTCTACAAAAGTCTTTAGGCCCGTGAATGTCCGCAGCAGCGTGGACGCATATTCTCTCGTACCTCTTCATGACTACGCGATTCTGCCCACAACCCTTGACCTTAAGCAACATCCTGTCCATCCCGTGGCATCTTTCAAACGGAGCACACGATGTGCTGCTTCGAAAACGCAGCTGCTGGGCCACGCACGGCTCCAAAGGCACTTCCACAATTTCACCCTCCTTCAAGCATTGCGTTAGAATCAACAGCCTGTTCCAGACCATGAACTAGCGCGTGTGCTGAAGCCTTGCCTCCTCTGCCATCTTGCCAACGCAGGCACGAGCAGCACTTAACGAGAACACGATTCGTCTTTTCTTACTTTGACTTTCGGAATATTGTCGGGTATTGTGGGTTGCAGGTCTGTTGACTAAACGGTTACTTCCAGCTTCCCCACTGTGCAACATGTCTGTGCTTTCTGCTCCTTCGAAACATTCCTAATGCTTCAACACCTGGGGCAAGTGCCTCATCATCAAAAAGGAATGCAGCTGTTGTCACATACCCAGTGCATTGCTTGCTGCTGGCATCTTCGCCAGAACAGCCACGTCGTGCGCCTGTTATGGGCCGCCTTTCGTTCACCTGTAGCACGCCATGAGGCTGGTTGATTTATGTTGAAATGTATCTCAAGGACACTAGGCGTCAGCCTCTCAACCCATACCCTCATAAGCAAAGCACATGTGAAAGTAGCTGAAAGAAGTGGATACAACTTCACTCTCCAATGCCAGCAATGAATGCGACCAGTGACTCAGTGACGACCATCACTTTCAGGCTGCAGATCCGTCCAGACTGTTTTGCTTCGATTTGCTTTGCAGATTGCTTTGGCCTCACCTGCGAAGATCAACCGTACGGCGCCGGGGCAACGGGGTGGTTCTGTAACTCTTCTGGATGATGGATGAGCCAACATTCGGCTTGGTAACCGCTCCATGCCCGGCATTGCCTAACAGCAAAAGGACTGCGTAGTATTGCGCATAGTCAAACATTCGGATTGTGCCGACCTCTCTCGGATGGGCATTCGATCACGGAGGCTGGTGATCGAACCTGAAATAAATTCGGCAACTCAACAATCACTTGCCCTGCGCCAAGTGAGGATTCATTCTTGAGTGGTGCTTAGGGCTATCATGTGCTGAAGCACAAGGCAAGCTTCGCGCACACGAATGTATTTAGTGTAGTTTAGTGTATTAAGAAGGCATGATTGCGGGGCTTTTTGCTGTACAAAGCTAGAAAATTGGAAAACGGCGTTCCGGCCATGTATTCTGGCCACAAAAAAGGCCCCGCACATTCGACGACTCCTGGGGAACCGTCCCTTCAACATGCAATTAGCAGGTCAGCTCATGGTGATCTTAAAGATTTCTTCCGGGAGGCCCTGCTGTGCCTAAGCAGATCGTGATGGTTGGGCTCGCCTGCGATCTGACAAGAATCAGCGGCACCACATGATCATAGAAACAAGGGGAGAAGATGCAAGGGTATCCCTGGAAGGTTCACCGGAACTGAACCGACCTGGACTGCGCCGCTATCGCTCTGAGACAGAACCCGTGCACTGCACATGGCAAACAAGAAAGCGCGAAAGTCTCTCTCCTGCATGAGCTGTCCATCCCACATTCAGAATAGAACCGATACTCGGCGTGGGCCCTAAGATCATGCTGCTGTTGCTGTGGCAAGCCTCATTGCCACCAACGCAACATCCTCGGGACATCCTAGGACACTTAAAAGTCCTGTCGAAGGTTTCTAGGAACTTTCGGCTGGGCGGGAATCCGGTCCAGGACTCTGCTGGACTCTTTGGTTACCTACTTTGCCTTGTGTACAGCCAATGCTAAGGCTGCCTTGAATTTAAGGCTGCAGGCCATAGGGGTTTTAAAGGCTTTGGCTTTGGGCATTGGGTTCAGGCGTTGTTTTGGAAAGGGCTTGGGAGTTTTGCGGCTCGCCTGTGCATATTAAAGGTCGGGTTTTGGAGGGGAGGGGTTTGGAGTTTAGGATTTAGGGTTTCGGGTTTGGGGTTCGGGGTTTAGAGTTTGGGGTTTTGGTCGACCGTCTACATGCCTGGGAACATAGACATGCTACTCTACTCTTGAAACTGCAAACAGAACCCAAACTAGGCTTGAGGTGGTCATGTTGTCCACGGGTCTGTCAGCCTTTTCTAGGCCTGGCTCAGGACTTCACTCTGTCTTGACTGCCTGGTGCAGCGGCAGCGCTAGCAGGAGTAAGATGAGAATGAGTGCGACAGAGCGCCGAGCAGCTGAAACAAAAACGAAACAAAGGAACACGTACCTGCAGCTCCAGGAGCATGGAGTCGCCATCGAAGTTGAAGTGCACAGGAATGCCAACCTGCATTAGCACCTGAGCTTAGCACTTGGGGGTAACACTCTGTTGCACCTGGTTGCCACTTCGGGTCTCAGGCCGATCCTGTCAACGTCAGCCGCCTGGTGCGGAGTGGGCGAAGGAGCACAATGCTGAATCCTCAAAGTCGATCACAAAAGGAGGTGTGGCACCTGCGGTGCTTAAATTGCGGGCCACCAGGTTGAAAGATGCCTCGGCGGCGTGAAAGCTTGAGAACGACACCCCACTTGACATCGTGAAGTGCCTTGTGACCTCTGCACGGTGACCGGTGTGTTGCGCAGCGTGCTGGGTGCGGGGCCATTAAACACGCCCTCGGCTGCAAGAGTTGGAACCTGTGCTTTTCGCACAATCTCGTTTCACACAGATTGTGCTCAGCATGGGTGCAAGCTTGAAGAAGGTTTACCAACACAAGTTGGCTCTTATTCATCTCATTCCTGCTCTGATCAAGGGTTTGGCATGCTCGCTGACGTTGTAGTGACTCTCTTGCCTGTCAGCAAGTCTGCATGTGAACTTGCACTGCCCCCTGCGACATCCACAGCTGCAAGGCGGTATGCTTGCTTCATTCGCATCTACACCCACACTTCTCACTTCCACAAGCGAGAGAAGACTTCAACTATATAGGAAGAAGGACGAATGGAGCCTCAAACCGCGTAGCTTCAATCGAGATGGAAACTTGCCAACCTCGAGCTGGACCACAAAGTCAAAGCAGCGTTTGCGACTGTGAGCTTCAATCGCGGATGTTACACTGTAGGCCGCATGCTGCATGGTTCGGTCTGCTGAAGATGTACAGGCGACAGGGGCTACAATGCCTGGGGCTATGGCCGTGTCATGGTGGAAAATGATGGCGCTTACCACAGCCCTGTCCTGCTCCGGTGATACCTGGCCCAGATTTGGCAAGGCCGAAACTGGAATACCCGACCTAGAACTGCTTCAAACTTTCAGCTTGCTTTCCGGAACAAATTCGTCAGGCGACAAACATCCACGCATAGACCTTAGCTCCACGAACTTCGGCGGATGGCCAAGAAGACTCGAAAACATGTAGATTCGGCAGGCAGTTCGAGCAGTCCGAACTCCGACAAGGAGTCTACCTCACAATTGCAAGCAAAGGCACATGCGAGTCACCGATGCCTGCAGAATTACCCTGAGCAGCTCCAGGGTAGCCAAAGCCTGGAACAAGCGAAAGTCAACTTCAGCAAGTGCTTGCGGAAGAAACTGCAGCTCAGTCATTGGGCAAGTCGAACGCATCAGGAAGCCTGGTAATCTGAAGAAGTTGCCGTGCAGGGTCACCTAGCAGAGTGCATGAAGCCTGGTAACGCTCCAATTTCAGGCCCCTTGTCTTTGGGGCCCCCTTTATAGACTACGGCAGCCTCATAACAAGCACCTCCACGAAGGACCAAAGGACCCAATTTTCCGGCATCGGCCTGGCAGAGCTTCTTTCTCAGTGCCACCAGCTCGGCTACCTCCTCGAGCTCCTGCAGGAAGGACCCACTGATGTTTCGTATACCCTCTGATGATGGATGATGATGGGTTCTTGTGGCATATCTTGGCGGCAATCTCTGACCGAAGCATGCACACTCTCACAGCAAGCCGGCTGCTGGACCCATCGCAGGAAATCTTACGAACTTGCTGCTGCTGCTTGAACAGGATCATGAGCCGCTGCTGAGCTATCCATAGCTATCCATAGCTATCCATAGCTATCCATAGCTATCCGAGGCGAGGGGCCTTTGCAGGGAGCGCATTCAGGTCCAGCTCGAGGCCTGTGTGCACAAACGACCCGACATGCAGGGCCGATTGACATCTAGAGCACGTAGGGTTATTGCTTATGGGCAAGCAGCACAAGGCAAGTAGAACAATTACAAAAGCAAAACACCGCGCCGGAAACTATCAGCAAGCTCTAAACTAATGCCAGAAGATATCGCAGTCAAAATATGTGTTGCATGCTTCGCATGGTTTCCCCATTCAGATGGCCGCTCGCCAGTCTAGCGATCGGCTTTGACTAAAATGGTGAAACTGTAATCCACATTTGCTGCTCTCACGAAGTCAGATCATACAGCGCTAGCAAGCGCTAACTGTAGGATCTCATCTCGACACCAGTGAGCTTTGGGTGGTGTGCCGCATGCGTCAACGTTTGGGCTTGTGCATCTAAGCTCGGGCAGCCTGCAGGGTTTCGGCAAGAGCCCAGGGAGACTTCACATGAGGGTCAGTAATTTACTGTGGGCACAGACATGACCGAGAGCAGGGCCAAACGTGCCCCAAAGAGACACAATGAAGCGTGTCCTAGGCGAGTCGGGAACAAGGGCAAGTCGAGAACATGTTAAACTTTACGCGGAATGAAAATTTCGACGCATCCCCTTCCTTGACTTCCTTGTTCTTGCCTGCACTCTCACTTGCTCCAGACGTGCTACGGGATGTTGAAATGCCCACGCGCGTGCCAACAAGACTCAGCAGGTAGAATTCATGCATATGTCAGGGATGAGAGTTGCCTCTCACTCAGGTGCTGACTTCATGATTTGCCTCACAGGCTGAGCTACAACAAAGGATTTCTTTGTATGCCGACAGGCCGATTCCGTTTTTCAAGCAACTCCAATCGCCACACTGCACAAACAGTTCTTTCTCTTGCGCAAAAGTTGTCTCCCGCTTGGGTTGCAGCGTGCGACGAGTCTGATGGCTAGGACCTTGGGCAGTGGGACTCGGGAACTTTGGCAGCATGGCCGAAGACTATGCCAGCCACGTGACGACACATTGCAAAGCACACCATGCATCCGTAATGGGCACCCCGACATGCTGCAATGTGCGCGCCCATACATCGTGTCGGAGCCTCGGCTTGCGCCCGACTCCCTGCTGACCTACCCGAGAGCTCGCCAATGCAAATTTGCACAAGTGGCAGCTGAGTGCTATGCCCACAAAGAGGTTCCCATGTGGATGCGGGTCCGCGTAAACGCATCTGAGTTGTCAGAACACCAGGCCTCCCAAAAGGCATTTCGAGGACACTCGGGCACAAGAGGATGGCCCCATGGAACCGATTTTGTGCACATTAACCAATCATTAACCCACGCCCTCAATGGCATCGGGCCTGCGGACACCACGCGAGCAACGCCGCATCGAAGCGTCCTCCTCCGGACCTCGATGAGGAGCTCGGCGAAGCATTTTTTGCTATTTGTGAGGGCGCTCTCTCTTAACCTCGCTCCCCTGGGTCTGCAGCCCCCAGAGAAGCATCCCCACACCATCATGTAATAACTAGTGATTGGAATTATAGTATCCCCCGTGCCTAATTCTTGCGAGCGCAGAACCACTGTTTTCTCCTTCACAACCCGGCAGAAAATAGCTGCAGCCGGGTCATGTGAACCACATGTGTGTGTGTGTGTGCTCTCTCAATATTGCTATTAAAACCCTCCTTAAGCATAGGTCGCACCTTTAATACAATTATAAGTGAACGAAGTGAGTGCATCAAATGCATTAAACGGGCTAACGAAATAACCGGGCCAAACACTGTCGGAATCTTATCCTCGGCCGTGAGAGTAGACAAAGAGCGTATCATAAGACCTAAGATCCATTCGCCCCGGGGCTCCCAACGCACAGCTTTCAAAGAGCACGTGCGGAAAACGCGAGGTGATCGTCTGCGATGTCAAGTTCAAAGGAGGCTGAAGACACGAAGCATGACAGAACACGAAAGGCTCACTAAGGAAGCCTCGAAGATTCGATAGAGCCCCAGGACATAGCGGTGGTAGACCTGCATAAGAAGATCACACTGCACAAGAGATAACGCCGTTGTCGAAGCATTCAACCCCACCAGTGAAGTAGCAAAAGATGTGTATCAAGTGCAGAAGCTGCTTCGCCAGCTGTAGCAGCTACCACTGGCTCAGGAAAGTGGTCATTTAACTGCTCATGCTTGTTCATTACAAGTCTTGATGAAGGCGGAAGTTCACTTGCCAAAACTCGACCTCATCGTCTCACGGGCGGTACAGCATATTTGCAAAAAGAATTCTTAACTAGCAGTTCACCACGCAGGTTTTTGCAGCCTTGGTTATTTGGCACGACCAGGTTCACCAGACAAAACAAATCATTTGCCCACCTCTTGGTGAATGCACACACACACACACACACACACGAATACCTCGAACAGCCCACAGGCCTCGCCCTGTTGCTTCGGCCTAGGATCACCGCGCCGCGCTGTGAGGGCTTGGCCGAAGGCATTTTACATTGCTACACTATGCAATCTATTGCTCTGTCACAACCAGATGTCGCCAGAACGGGCCACACGACCAGCACATTCCCTGGCTGCCACAACTCAAAACTGAACCTTCAGCCAGGCTGCGGCAGCGCTGCCGAGAAAGCATCGGTGAGGGCCCGATTCATGTCCCACCTGCTGGGATTCTTGCCACATCAGTGGCAACGGCGGTGAGCACGCGTGGTATTGATTCGTGTTTTGTGGATGTAGGCTTCGGAATGTTGCGACGTAGGGCGTAAATCCGAGCACCTGTTTAATTGGGGGGGGGGGCCCCCCCCCCCCCCCCCCCCCCCCCCCCCACCCGCCACAATAAGAAAGGCAGGGTTCCGCAATAGTATGACCATGGCCCTGTATTGATTCTCGATTAAGACAATAAGAATGCATTGAAAACAATAGGAATGTATAGAATTTCTATTAAAACTGAATAACAAAGTATTGAGTCTCTATGAAACACAATAGGAACGTATTGAATCTCTATTTAAACTGAATAGCAAGACCAGGGCTCCCCCCCCCAAGGCCTCCCATAATTGTGGTCCCTTTTTTTATCATGCTGTCTTTGCTAGGCAGAGCCCACAAGGGGTAGCTCAGGAAAGAATAAAAAAAATCCTCCAGTAAGCAATCACATAAGAAATCCTAGCTTTCTGAAAGGGCCTCAGTTTCTGGGAAAGTACAGCTTCGGCTCTTTTAAGCTTGTACTTTTAAGCTTCGGCTTCTTCGAAGACTACAGGACCAGGGCTCCCCCCCACAGGGCTTCCCATAATTGTGTTCCCTTTTTATAAGTGTGATGCTGCCGCCTTTGCCGGGCAGAGCCCACAAGGGGTAGCTCAGGAAAGAATGAAAACTTCTCTCCTCCAGCAAGCAATCACATCAGAAATCCTAGCTTTCTGAAGGGCCCCGGATTCTGGAAAAACAAAGCTTCGGCTTCTTTAAAGCTTTTACCTTTAAGCCAAAAAAAGGAGCCCTAGAATTTTTTTGAACCCCGTCATGTTTTTCTTTAAATGTGGTGGTATTTCCCCGTACGAAGTCCCCCGTAATGGAAAGTAGTCTTCCGGCGGCCTTCTCGGCGAAATAAATTTCTTTAAATGTGGTGGTATTAATTAAACAGGTGCTCGGATTAGGCTTGTACAGGAGCTCTTGTACTGGAACTGCCTCAAAGACCCTGGAATCCATCCCACCTGTCAGTCTTGCACATGAATCCGCCCTTGAGACCCTGTTAACGCCTGGTTGAAAAAGACCCTAGAATCTGCACCCTTGCGAACCCACCCTCGGGACACCAACCACCTAACTTTGTAACCGTACCAGCTAACTCTCATTTTATTACCACCTTCGAAAGCTTTGGTTTTTTAGTGGTCTTGTTCATGGTGTTCTTGTGCTCCCTAAATATTATATTAAAAGACCATATGAAATGTCACTGGTTATAGTGCGGCCCCAAGAAGAATATAGTAAGGCCACCATGAAAAGTATATTGTATTTCGTTCAAAATATTATTGTAATTCACGCGTCACTTTGTTCCTTGTAATTACAATTTTATTATTCTCTTCATAGTAGTTCCTAAGGACAAGAGTAATAGTAATAATATCCCGGGCGATCATAAGGGATTTATAGTGTGCCCGGGGAATATTATACTAAAGGTGAAGATAGAACGGTTAAAGCACAAGAAAGCTGGAACACCGTGGAGAACGTGACAGCAGCTATGAAGAATCCAGGGGCCTGTGTCTTACTGTTGGTGCTTAAGGGAAGTGGACTAGAGAATTGTTGCAAAAACCGTGTTAAAACCGTGAGTCAATAATGACAGGTCCAAAGAGTGAGGACCCAAGGGGCATTTGGGAATGGAGTTTGTCCACTGCATGCACTCACTTCAGCTGATATTTCGCGATGAGACGTTGAGAGAGAGAGACCTCCTATATGAGGACGTGCGGAGGCACCCTTTTTGGGACCCTCCAGGCCTATGGGGATCCCTTAATTTCAGAAGCCTTAAGAGCCCCGAAGCCCTCGATTGCGAGCCAGGTCGGGGCGGCCGACGCGCGCTCGCATATGATCTCATGCCATCAGCAGTGACCAAGTGACAAGGTGACTTTAAGTGCAGCTGGCGCCACTTTACATACTCGATGTTCGCGCCCTTGAGGACCTGCAGCTGCGCACTTGGGGTTGTTTTCAGGTCCTGTTGAAGATGAAAATGGTTGGTAGAGCCTGGTAAAGCCTGGTAGAGCCTGGTAGAGCCTGGTAGAGCCTGGTAGAGCCCATTACAGTCGGACCCCCCCCAAAAAGGGCCCCGAGCTAAGAGCAATCCCAAAGTCGCGATGCTTTTGAGGGGCGTACAGAGCTCACAGTGTCGATGATGTAGTCCTGAAGCCACATACAAGTTCCGGAGGCTTGCCGGAATACGGCCTTCTCACATCATCTACACCATCTGCTCGGCCATGCAATTCTGCAAGATACCGTACTCACGTACGCACGGTGCACTTTGGCGACCGTTCGGTTTGCGACTCTTCGGATTTCCTGGACTTCCACACGCGTCAGGTCCAAGACGAGCTGGTTCCTGCGCCCACAATCACAGGAGTCTGGAGACAAAGTGCTTTCCAGAGGTGGCCGATGCCGGACTGCATGTCAAGATAACAGAACTACTTCATCTTCCGCGCACAAGATCTTTTGATATCTTTTCGTCTTCTCATCTTTTTCGCTGTAGGCCTGGCAGACGGACAAAGCCTTACCCTGTATCTTCGCGGTAGCTTTTCCGCACTTTGCTGCCATCAGCCCTCGATGCGCGTGAAAACATAGTTGTAGGCGACGCGCAGCAGAACCTGTTGCTACAGTGGGGGTCTTTACCACAAGGACACCTGATCAGAACTAAGCACGGGACAGCAACACAACTGCAGCTCGGCCTTGTACCCCATGGCACGCATGGGCTCCACAATGTTTTGGGCTGCTTCGATGATCACCACCTCGATCTCAAGGCACAAGCCACGGAGAATCAGAGAGAGAGAGAGGGTCCAAAAAAATGATGTTCTTGAGTCTTAATGCCAGTATAGTCCCAGCTACATCGAAGACGCAACCTTCTTGATGAACACGGCCGAAGATTGGTCTGCACAGGGAATGTTGCATTTCTTGCCGTGCACTCCGCAACAGTATACTTCATTCAGTGTACGATAGTGACTCGTGACCTGTCATAGCCCTCGGCGTCAATGGATAACACTGTGAAGGGTTGCTTGCCACAGCGACCTGCCAGATGGCAAACGATGCCAGGAGAACGTGCACCAAAGCAATTCATGCACCTTCAAAGGTGCGAAGAGAGCTGCCATGATTTGTGCAGGCTTGCGATGTGGACGCGGAGACTTGGTGTTCCGCACTGGGAAGGAGGCACCCGGATGAGGATTCACGGTGCAAAAACGTGAGCCATCAACCCTTGACCCGAAGCACTCCCACAGCATTTCGCCCCAAAACCTGGCAGCGAATGCTGCAATCGAAGCGCTTCAGACACTTGCTGGTGCGTGGATGGGTGGCTTCGTCCTAGTTTTGAGAGCATTTGTGCCATGTGCACATGTACCCGGTGCACCTGCAAAGAATATTGTCAAAACCCCCAAAATCCTGGCACCACCACTGGGCAGGTTCTACCACAGGTGCAGCTGCCTAAATTGTGGACTTGCAGTGAGCACTGATCAAGCTCGTTCCTATTGGCCGTCGGGTTCCGGGAATCATGTGAGGGAACAAGTGTGAGCACTTGCATTCCACACGCGCAACCCCTAACCATGGCCTTTTTGGATGTACTCCTTCTGCTGCTCACCTTAAACTAAACCAAAACATCAGCAATAGCGCAACGAACCGTCGAGCGCGCTTGGTCACAGAGTTGTGTGCAGGGTGGCCATTTGCAGCAAGCAGGCAAATGCAATCACTAGGCGTCCAAAACAGATAACGAACAACGCGTGATTTGCATGTCGCTTTGCAGATTTTGCCCTGACCGTGCCAGCACTGAGAAGGCCACACACCAGCCGCGCGTCTGCCGCAGCTATGTGGTAAACAAAGTCCTTGGGATTGGTGCACGGGTAAGCCACTGGGCAAAAAAGCCTGCTGTGCGTCGAATGCAGAAACACCAAGCCAAAAACACACAAACACTCGCACAAGCATGCACGGAGGCACCCACACCCCCGCACACGCGCACACACCCGCACACAACCGGACGTAACCCCACACACCCGCACGCACCCGCACACACACACACACACACACACACGTTGACTTGTCTGGAACTGATGAGACGGACACTCGACTGGACAACATCAAGCATCACAGAACCCTCAAAAGCATCTTGCAACTTTCATGCTGGCCTTGACTGAATCAACGCACTAAAGTCGGCTCACCTGTGATGGAAGTCCGTCAATGGACCCAACAACTTTTTGCTGCGCAGCCTCTTCGGTAACTCGGGCTGATGTGTATGACACTCGGCTCTGTGGGCCGAGGCAAAAGCACTGGCCTCGAAAGTGACATGGTCCGGTAACTTGCAAAGATTCTGAAGTCGAAACTCCTGACTGACCGCATTGCTGCAGGCACAACACACACGGACACTTCCTTGCTCGATGTCTCGAGCTGCATTTGTCACGGCAATCTGTCAATTGCTCTCCTACAGATGGTTCATTCGGAATTGCACAAGCGAGGATGTTCAATAGATTCAACAATGCAAAGCATACACGATGGATGATGTCACAAATCTGTATTGAGCAGGTACACCGGAGCGGCCAACTCCGGCCCCACATCACTGGTAGCTTCGTTGGACGCAGTCCCAGTGATGTGCTGCGTCCCCCCGCATGAAATTGAGAAAAGGCGTGACCCCAATCCTGCATGTACAGCAGGTTGCACACACACACACACACACACACACCGCACACACCCGCACACACTTGCTGACCCCCGAAAAAGTTAATCTGAACATTATATTATGATATTTCTGTGGCTTTCTTTGCAGCACATATTCACAGGTGGGGGGCATCTTCGTTGGCTGGAGACTCCCGTAAAGGGCTTCAAATCCCCTTGCAGTTCTCGAAGCATCCTTTGCTATCAGGCTTGCACACACAGCTTTCTTTAAAGGAGTAGCTGACGTGGAAGGGCTTTTTGAACTTTCAAGCATATGGAGGTCTAGAAGGAGATTCATGGGGATTCGCAGGTCCATGCCGAAGCCTCCCCTGTGGCCTTGGTGTTGGCTACAGGAAATTCGCAAGCCAACGCCGCACGTTTCTGTAGCATGGAATCCGTGTGCAAGCGGTCCCTGGTTGATAGATTGGGGATTGGCAATGCCGCGGCTCCAGGGCCGAGCCCATGGAATGATGGAATCATGTTGTCAAGAACCAAGTTGCCCAGTATCAAGTTGAGAGCATCATTTGCTTCGAATTGAAGCAACATTGTGCATCAAGAAGATCAGAACCGAGTAGTTCAAAAATCAAGCTCGATCTGGTCGAATGAAGCGCCTATTCCCGGCCCTTTGACAGAATGCTGGTCAAGAAGCACACTTGCTGACCCCCGAAAGGTTGCCCCCGAACGGGTAGTTGGAAATGCAACACAAGCTTCTGTACTCTCCGGGCTGAATACGATTGAACTGCCTTCAACACAAGTCGATCAGGAAAGAGCACAGTGGACGGTAGGAGCAGTGATCATTTTGAGAAACGTCCGAAACCAAACTTCAAAAAAACTTGGAGACTTGTATGGCGGTATAGCGATCGTAAAGTACGACGAGTGGTATACAGAGTGGTACATGTCTAGAACAGTTCGTATCCGCATAATCCAAGAGCCACTGCGTTGGGTGACAGATGGCGACAGGTCTTGAAAAGTGGCACCCTCTGGCATGTGCAATGTACCATTTGCCAGCGATGACCGCAGCCCCTAGAGGTAATTGTTATATATTGAGAGAGCACACGCAAACGCGCGCACGAGCGCACGCACGCACGCGCGCCCGCGCACGCGCGCCCGCGCACACGCGCGCCCGCGCGCCCGCGCGCCCGCGCGCCCGCGCACCCGCGCACCCGCACACGCGCACACTGAGTTGGAGTCAAGTTGACAAGAAAACATCACAGGTCAAAATGGGGGTCTTCATTGGCACCTGCCCCAGTCCTTTTCCCCAGGTGCCCCCTGCTGAAAACAACATGCGAAATCATTGAAAACTGGCGTGCGGGCCACATGTTCTATTTGGACATTGATCAAACATCCGCTATCCTTGGTCCCAGGGAATCCCACACATATAAGATCCGCCAAGCCTAATTAATGTTGCCCAGATGGCTGGTGTCGCATCAAATTGGCGCTTCTTCTCCTGGCCAGACAGTCCCTGTCGTCTTGATTGGTACTGAATCCAAGATGGGCGAGGTGCACCTTGACCAATGTGCTCTCCAAAGAGGCAGGGAAAACACGGTACCTTACATGCGCTGCTGTGCAAAAACTCCCCCACTGCTTGCAGCGACGTATGCTGGATTGGCCATGAAAACGCACAAGAACATCCCTAGCAGAGAGAGCGAATTCAGTCGGTTGCACATGAGTTGCTCCATCAACTGCGCGCCTTCGACCAGCCCACCTGTGGAAGGAGGAAGGATTGTCCAGCTGGTGAGAGTGGCGGTCGTCTGTTGGCTCTGCGAACTGTCGAATCTGCATTCTCCGAGCGACAGTTGAAGAGCTCGACGCGGCCCCGGAAGGTTGAGCCAGCTGCGGCGTAGCGCTTTCGGAGAGAAAGGAAGACCTGCAACGGCTCTTGGAAAGCACTGCACTTGCACTACTTGCACACTATGGTCATCACGGTACTTGCCACATCGGAGTGCCAATCCGCCACAAGCATCCAATGCCCATCCGGCCTCTGCTTCCGGCTCAAAGAGGACGGCCGTGTAGTTCCTAACCCGATCACATCACAGCGCGCTGCTCAGAAAACCGCAAACTGCAGCAAAGAGCTTGAAGTTGCCGAGCATCCGATAGTTTATCAAATAGTAGGAGTTGGAATTCCAGACCTCAGAAATAGCAAGTATGATCTGGGTGCTTCTCTGCAACAACATCCGGGGAAGGTGGTGGCACTGACATACCGTTGGAATGCACCGTTGGAATGCACAAACTCACGCATCACCGTGGTCAACAAACTAATTACGTCCTTGGCACTCCATCATTCGCACCGATGTCCCAAACACAGCCCCCAGAAGGTACGTGCATGCCACTGCCTGCAATCATCCGAGGCTTTTGACACAGGCTACATCGCAAAATTCTGACCATTCTGATTGCCTTCAAGGCGGAAATAGAGCTGCCCCTCTGACAGATCCTCCGCGCCGCGAGAAAGGCAGACACATGCTTTCCACCGGGTCTAGCGCAGGCAACAACGTGCAGCAGAACTGTCTCGGATTCAGCGACGTTTCGGACATCAGCATCGGAGCAAACAAGCTGTTGATGCGCACGAAGCTCGTTCGGATGAGCCGGTACCTCGAAGAGTGTCGAGACGAGCTTGGCAGGTCGTGCACGATGGTTGCACACAAACTATTCTCATGCCTTGTAGCCCACTGCCAGAGGAGGAGAGTGGCAAATGACAGGCTCAGGAAAGCCGTCGTCCAGCGGCCCTGAGAATGGGGACCGTTACAATCCAGTACAAGGGGAACGGGTCTCTCTCCTCTCGAGGTGCAGGCTGCTTGCTTATCTTGCATCCAGGCGGCGCCGAGCCATGATGGACCTTGCAGCTGTCGACACTTGGTAGGGCTTGGAAGCGCGAAGCACTGGTAGAAAACAGGAGCCTGCTATCCGCCCCGTGGTCAGATCATAGCAGCTCCGTCGTGGATGGTCCTTTCTCAGCAGGCATCGTTGGCTCGCGGATTCTTCAGAAGCCCTGGTCTTGCAAGCGTCCGCTTCTCCAGAACACCGGTTTCCACGTCCTTCATGATTATGCGGTTTGCACACCATGGCGTTGGAAGCAGGCGCGATCTTAGGATGTCAGTGAAAGTCTGCAGTTTGAGGGGCAACCAATCCAGAATGCAAGTTAACACGTTCTGAAATTTGTCGGCGTACACCTCTGAACTTTTCGGGTCGGGCGTAGGGCTCAGATGGATCTGTCCAGAAGGAATTCGCGCTGCTCTCTGCTTTGTTGTACATAGGAGTGGCCTACAGAATCTTTACAAGGGTAGCATGCAGCAATTATGCTTGGTCCGGGCTCAAAGAGTTCCGGCAACTTTGGCCAAAACAGCTGGTTTGGCATCGATGAAATATCTACGAAAGCAACATCTGGCAAGGTCTTAAAGGTCTTAACAGTCCCGGAGTTGGGCCGAAGCACCCCACGACAACTTGTTTGTGTGTGTGTTGCCTGCCCTCCGAACGAAGCCGGGCAGGATGATGCAGCACCTCAACGTGTTTCAGCGATGCCATTCATGTACTGATGGTCACGTCAATGTTGTCGAACTGTTTTCTGATGCGCTCTGGGCATCCCTGCCCATTCGGGGTGGGACATGTAAAGCTCACTGTCCTGAAGCACGACTCACCCTGCCCATATGCATTTCGATGAAGGGAATGCTTCAATGACGCTCATGCTCCCATGGAAGCTGGCGAATCAAATCAGGTCCTTGTTTACCATCTCTGGCTCGACCCACACGCCAAGCTTCAGACCCATCTGGTTCAGGTCCTAGAGTCATGTAGCACAGCTCCGATTTGGGATGGCTTCAAAGCTGCTTCAAAAGCACGGGTTGGCACCTCTGCCAGCCCCTTCAGGCCTGAATGACAGCAGGCGTCAGATGGATGCCATGGAAATCGCAGCTCTGCCAATGTCTATAAAAAACTACGGCGGCACGGAATAGCATTGCTCTTCTGTATACTTGAACACAAACCCTAGCAGGCGGGCGGCATTTCTGAGCAAGGTTGTTGGCTTGGCTGAAAACACGTCCCAACATTGATTACCAGACTGTGCTGGAAAAACTACCCTGAGTTGCGGCGGCTGTCGTGCATGGAGCACTAACTTTCCAGTGGTTGCTTTTGGTGGCTTTTGTGGTTGAAGCTGAGAGTTCTGAAAGGTAAGCATCGGGGGTTGCGGTTAAGGGCTTGGATGCACCAGTAGCCCGGACATTCTAATCCTACGGGCACGGATTCGTCAATCGATGCACTGCACTGGCAACGCGGACGTTCTTATGTGCGGGCATGGATGCTCGCGTGAATGGATGCATTGAGCAGCTGGCTCAGACATTCTTGTCGCGGGCTCTGGTGCCACTGGTAGCACGGACGCTCGTCGTCGGGGCATGGAGGTTCTGACGCTCGTATCGTGCGGGCAGGGATGCTCTGGTGAACGGATGCACTGGCAGCATGGACGTTCTTATTGTGCTGGCAAGGGTGCTCTGGTGACCCTATTGAGCATGGCAGGACTCTGCCAAATTGCCAAATGAACAACGCGAAGCGCAGACTGAATCCATAAACGTGAGCTACCCAGAAGTATCAGCGTAAACAGTCCTGTCTGGAAGAGTCATTGAAGAGGCTCCTCTCCCCCAGAGTAAGCTAACATGGCCATGGGATGCAAAGCTTGCAAATTGTGCGAGAAACCGAAAGCGACCTTCCCCTGGAACTGTGAAAACAGGTTTCAAAGTACACGGGCGGGTACGCGCCGCAGTCCAACTACGCGTATGTGAGCATTTTGGGCCTTACTATGTAACCGCGTGTCCCGGAACTTGTCGGTCGGAACCTCGCGGTAGCTTCCGCGGGTCCTCTTTCCAGTCACCTTACGTGTGACGGGGCTGGGCTGTGGGTGCTGGATGTGAGGGGGAGGCTTTTAAAGATGAAAATGCCTTCTCAAGCATATTGCATCGTGCACATGATTGGCAATGCAGAGAGGTGTGTTGACAGAGAGGCTGGCTGCTTGGAGCAGAGACATGCCAATAAAGTTGCGAGCAGAAGAGGCTCCAACCAAGCGAAGTCGTGTCCTGAGCGGACGGGCGACTGCTGCAAGTGGAAGAAACAGCTGGCATGCAATTCCAGAAAGGCCCATCTCATATTTCTCACGCCATATCTGAGCTTCCTGGCACATCGAACCAGGTCGTGTCCGAGCTCAGCTCCCAACGTCGTCGCGCTTGCCAAACCACCCATCATCTAGCACCAGAAGCCTGAGCTCCGGAACTCCTTCTACTATAACATACTATAACCCCTTTACATCCTAAACGAAAGGAAGCAGGCATCAGCAATCTCAAGGTTACCACATTTACCACAAATCAGCACCCCATTTCAGCTCCGGGGCTCGACGCCAACCTGCTTAGCAGGGCGTGCCTGACGCAAGGCCGGAATGCTCTTAAAACATGCGGGATCCAACGATGTCAGGTTATCGGGAGAGGTCGCACTGCTCGATTTGGCTTGGCCAATGAGGCGTCTGCGAGCCTCTGCACCCTCAAGCCCTGTGTTACCCCCAAAACCCCGCCAGCTCCAGGATCTTGTCATGGTAAACCTTCGCTTTGTCGCAGTCACTCATTAATCAGAGTTCATTGTCGTCTGAGACGTCTAAGGGTCCAGCTTCAAAGTATAAGGCCTCCCATGTGTTGATCAGGACGGGGCAAATGAGGTTCCGCCAGCGCGGTGCAATGAGCCTCTGACAAACTGACCAAAGCCTTAAAGCACGTTGAGGAATAGCGTTGCTGGCTACGCCTTTCGCCCAAGAGCCGGTGGAAGGTGCTAGTCATGTCGCCGAGTCCTGCATTTAAAGTCGATCAATGTTGGGTGCTTTCTGACAAGGGCACTGAAGGGCGGCTGCACGCAACCAGCTCGGCAAAGAACGTGAAATATGAGTTCACCACTGTAGCCACTAGCAGCTAGCAACTGGCCTTTGTCAGAGAAGACGCAGACACACTCAGGGGACTCAAACGTCTCCTGCACACCTGCACAGCGACGGAGAGATTCTGGAGACGTGTTGGGAACTCGAGATACACACCAACCGCGCAGAAACTGAGCCACAATCTGTGTCAGCTTGGAAACGGATTTCAGACAAGCACTGCGTAACTCGTCGAGCGATATGGGGCTTGGACGCAAATCCCAGTTGAAGTGCGTGTTGCTGAGACCTGGCAGCGGCTTGAGGCATCAAATCTCCGACGAAAAGCATGCCATGCTGGCCTGAGGGCGTCAACCCATCAGGATGGTTCTTATGAATGTCCCCAGAGGTGGATTTCAAATCAGCAAAACTATCCATACTCCCCTCGCCCAAGCCAAGCTTTAGTGTCTCTCGACATTGCTACAGATCCAGCCCCCTTTATACACGACATAGAGAATGTGCAACCAAGCACTTCCAGAATGTGACCGTCAACGTGACGGGAGACCCACATTGACTCGGACGCATCCCGTCTGGCTCTGCTCCACCTGAAAATTCGTGTGCACTCATGGCATTGGCAATAGGTACGTACAAGCGGAAAATTGCTCGGGGATGCTTGGGCCATCTCTGCGACAGACATGAGCTGCCTCCATCAGCCAATTTCCAGAGTAGAGCAAGCAAAAGCCCCAGCACTGCCTCACAGGCACCACTCCATGGCACGAACTTTTCATATCCAACTCACCTCAGTCCCGGCCGTGCCCGTCTAAATTTCTCACCTGCAGGCCCCCTTTTCGTTCAATACTTTTTCCCCACCTTCGGTGTGGGGTTGTTAGATTTTAAACTCAACTCTTCTCCTCGCCCGGAACTCTTCTCCTCGCCCGGTCTACTCCTAGAGACTTTCTCAGAGACTCGCCCAACCCCAGAGACGGAGTGACTCTGGAGTGCCCAACCCCAGAGACTCCCTGGAGTGCCCAACCCCAGAGCCTCCCTGAAGGTGGGGAGGTTCGAAGTAAAATACTTATTTTTGGACCTTCTCGAAAACCCCTACAACCGTAGGGGCCGAGGCCGGGCCGGGGGCCGGGCCGAGGCCGGGGCCGAGGCGGTCGACAATTGCCGGGCCCACGATGTGAAGTACAAGACGAGCTCATCTCTCGGAGAAAAAAACAGAACAAAGGCGCAAAGAAGGCTACCCGACGTCCCGACAGTCGCCCCTTTAAAAGTCCTACAGCTGTGCATGTCCCACAGTTCCTCAACATCGAAGGCTGCAGGCCAAGGTGCCCAGAGCTCTCGGAGGGGGGTCCCGCTGAAAGAACCTTGCAAGTTGTCTCGAGGGAGGCTCACACATGGAGATTACTGGAATGCCTGCCACAGATGCGGATGTGGAAAGACAACAATCTTCGGCTGTGCTCTGCTCATGAATGACCACGATCTTGCTTGAGCGACAAAGTCGTGTTATTCCAACGGTTGTTAATTTGGGCCAATCCAACCTTTAACCCCTTGCCAGTGCGCAAAAACCGAGGCCAGGACTGCAAAAGGATTCGTCTGATGGGAAGACACCCCGCGGTTGCTGCCGAGATGGACCGTGCCCTCCTGGAGCCTGGCTTCCGATTGCTGTGAGCAGCGTACCCCTGACAAAAAGATTGCGAAAGACCTCTGAAAGGAGAGAGATGGAGAGAGCATTGCAGCGTTGCAGCGATGAGCTTCCGCTCCTGCGCGTTGTGATTTGCCGCTCGCAGGCCCAGCTCCCGTGCAGCGACAGAAGGTGCCAGTCGTTCGTGAGGAAATCGAAGGTGCCAGACCTCGGTTGAAAACGCCGTCTTGATTTGGTCAGGACAATACAGGGGCATTTTCAGAATTTTAAGGTCCTCCACGTTTCGGCACTCAGGCAGCTGTGTGAGAAAGCGAACAGGCATGGATACCATGACGAATCCAATCCCAAAGCCCAAGCCCCAGAGAACCAAAACCATCTTCTTACAGGAGCCCTGCGCAGCTTGTCTCAGCAAGGCACATGCACTTCATCAGGTCCACGCCGCCCATGCCCAGCCGGGAGCTGTTCTTCACAACCTTGCCAAGCCAGGGCATCGGCAAGGACAGGTGGCATCATGACATCTTCATCTAAAAACTCGATGTTCAGCTCAGCAGCAACTCGCCGGCTCACGGCTGAGAGCCCCGGAAAGACCGTGTAAATCAGCTGAACCTGGACCGGCCGGCAGCTCCACTGCAGGATGCACACAGAAGCTCTCAACGTTGCCAATAAACATAGGAAGCACAACGAAGCCCTGCAACTGACACGACTCTCATCAAGACATATCAAGACCGCACTAGACCGCGCCCCTGCTTCAGTCAATAGTCAGCGTCTCTCTGGCCTTGACCTCAGTGTATGTGTCGATCATATCCTTGGTATGCTGTGCCCAACAGCAACAAGATCTTTCATCCATCAGCAACTAGAAGTGCTCCAAAAACTGAAAGCGCTAGGGTTGGAGCGATGATCAGTGTCTGGGCACCCTGCAAAGGCTTAAAGGAGGCTTTCCACGACTGACAGATGTTTGGGCGGCACCGAGTTCCTACTCAAGGAGTCATTGGCTTTTGCTACATGAGTGGCCTCGGGATTGTGAGCACCCAGCAGTGGCAGTCCCGACATGGACGGCAGCATGCCGGGCATGACCCTGCAAACAAGCAGATATGCGAAACAAACACGAGCTGTTGAACTGTTGGGAGCCTTTGAGATCATTGAGAACCTTTCGGAACCCCTTCACTCGTGGTCTCTTGGCTCGGTTCGTGACACGACAGTGTATGTCAGCGCAGTGTCACAGCTTTGTTGATGTTGAACAGACCCGAACTCTTGCATCCAGAACAAAGGCAAACCTGCAACCCACAACAAATCTCCCCTACACCCCTGCAGCTGGCAAGAAGATGTCTTCACTTTCGCCAGGCGCACCTATGGCGTTGGTACCTTAGCTACAGCCAGCAACTTGAAACTCTGAGGTGTCGGTGCGCTCAGTTGTTGCACTGGGTGTTCTGAGGCCTGCACACAAGCGGAAGTAGCCTGGAACCGTCCTGAACACCCCGGGATTGGAGCATTGCGTTGGTGCCACATGGGCATTCAACTCAGCATGGCTTCTGGCTTGTTGCCGGAGCGGTTGGTAGAAGGAGGAAGAATCTGGCTGCCGCTGGCTACCGCAGGTAGTTTGGTCCTTGCGGAAGCAAATGTCCAAGCTCGGCGTGCCTAAGAAAGCGAATGACGGCTGACGTAGCAAAATGGAAAACCCTCCATCGCCGAGCACTCAGAGACAGCTGGGCCGTCTGCGGAAGTCCCCTGTGCCGAACTCGGAGACCTCACACAGCCGGGCTATGCATGTGCAAGTATGTGCGTGAGAATGTTGTGTATGCTCAGTGGGAAAATTCAACAGCTGCCCTGCACACTGTTTTAACTCGCTGCTTGTCCTGCTGCCAAGCAGTTCTCCGAGAAGCACGCTTCACATCGGGATATCGGTTCATCTACCTAAATGAGTTGCAAGTGCATCACTAAAGCATGCTTTCGGAACGATCATTTGCGTTTCAAAGCCACCGCCGGACGTTGTCCTTGCGTCGCTTCGCAGTGAAGCTGAGCAATCCCCTTGCACAAGGGATTTGCTGCTGCTAGCATGCATTGCAGCACCTATACTTTATCGAACTATACAAATGTCATGCCACTCTGCTACTCTAGCCTCTTAGAGCCATCTATCCATCCTGCTTTTGCTTTCAAGATTCAGATTGCTCTGCCTCGCTGGCAAACATTAACATTAACTGCCCGGCCGGCTTGAAAGAACATCTTTGAGCGTTGATTGGCAGCCAGTCTCTGGTCGACCAGTCAAGACGTCTCACGGCCAACTGCCAAACCAAGCCGAATCCGCCTCCGCGCAGTCTGCGGCAGCGCTTCTTCACATCTGTAGCTGTCCAGGAGCTTGCTCCGTGCCTTCGCAGAAACTGACCAAGGATCCAAGAACATCCAGGAAAGAAGAGAGCAGATTGCATGCAGCTTGCATGCAGCCCAGCCTTGCACACTCTGATCACGCCTTACTTTCACTGCCTTTGCTTTTCCTTTCACCTTCTTTGCTTTAGACTTTCGTGCTGTAACCTCCAAGGCTAGTGCTCGTCCATCCAGCTCTGGCTCATCTTCGCTCCATGCTGCCACAGGGTCCTCTGTGCTGTCGTTTCCCAAGCTGCCATCGGGTTCTTGTGCGCCCAGGTTCTCCTTTGATCCCTCTTCCGCTGCCTCATGCACATCTGCTGTATCTGCTGTATCTACCTCTTCTTGCGGCTCTTGTCCTTCTTGTCTCCTCGGAGGCTCAGAAGAAAGGATCCGATTGATACAAGACACCTGCCTCGTGATCCAAATTCGGCGGTGCGAAAGCCGAGGCACTCCAACTTCCTGTCTGACCGGCTTTTCTTCAGAACTTTCTTTCCCTTTTTCCGTTTATGTTCCTTCTCCTCCTTGTCCTCACATTCGTGTGGCTCTGTTGATGCGGCCTTTGCGCTATCCTCCTCGGCTGCAGGCAGTGTCGCTTGTTTCTTCCTCGTCTCGGCCTTGGGGGCCGACCTCAGCTGTAGGACTCGTCTGGTCGCTCAGCCTGCGTTGGGTTCGCCTTTCTGCAATCCTGCACAACAAAATGCGGCCTCTTCGGGAAAAGAGGCCCTAAAACATTGGTCAAGGCTCTGGGCTTTTTGTGAGGCCTTTGCCGAAGAAGTCTTCGCTTTGAGGTTGATTTGCACCGCGGGACTTCCTAGCACAGGAGAATCGCGCGACCTGATTCGCCACTTGGTGGACCTCATCTGGACTTGAGGTTGCGTGAAAACCCCCTATCCCGGAAGATATCCCTGAATTATGTCATCGCTCTTGTTTACTCTTATCGTTTTCTCGAGTTTTCGCATTACTCTGAACGTTATCGTTCTTTTACTCTTATCGTTTTATCGAGCAATACGCACATCTGATCATCTCGGGGAGCTTCTCTTTACTTTTCATACCGGGGGTTTTTATCATCCCTCACTTGCACCGCGTGGCCCACGGAAGTAGCATGCTTTGCCAACCCCCATCCACCCCACCAGCTCTTTACTACTGAAACCAGCCGTGAGCCACATACCCAGGTCGCGTGGTCCACTAGGAAGGAAGACAGTGCTGGACCGATTCGACGCGGCCACGTTTCGGAGAGTCTCGAAGTACCTCACAATCTCAAGGCCAGCCGCTAGCCATCCCTCCAAATTCACCGAAAGCAGTCCAAGCTGTGCTTTGTCAAGTTGCTGTGTAATCAGCATGAGATCAGAGATCTCCTCAATCGACAGAGTCTCACCCGACCCATGTGTGATCGATTCCTAAGCTTCTTCACCATCAAGAGCTGACGGCAAACATTCATTGAAATGCTATGATCGAAGTCAGCAACAAGAGGCATCGTCAAGCAACAAAGCATAGCTTCTTGCAGCTCGCATGCTCTCAACCCGTCGATGATGGCTCGACGCTGTCGTGCAATGCCTTCACCCTGCAAGCATCACATTGGCCTAGAAGCGACGATGTTCCCTCCGCAGTGTAATTTGTTCGCGGGTATTCCACACAGCTCTGAACTATTTTTGGATAGCCGTTTCCGGATTGCACCCATCTCGCTTGGAATACGACATGCCAGCAGCACCATGCGAAACGGCAACTTCATTTACACCTGATGTGACTGCGGTGAAGTGTGCCTGCAGCTGTGCGGCATCGGCCGCTGCTTCAGCAGCCTTGACTAGCTTGATCTTCTCGGCCTGATGCAGGGCTGGATTCCAACCAAATCACAGTTCGATGTTGCTTCAGTGGTGCAAGGGCTAGTGGCTATTGTGTTGGTGGAGCCTCAGCAGCCATGTGGGTAGCATCCCGCAAGCCTAGGTCACACTGGCGGCTACAGATGCTTCGAGGCGTCTTGCAACATCCACTCTTTCCGAGGCGCGCTTTTGCTTGTTGATCTCCTTATCAAGTAATTGAAAGTGAAGCCCCCTGACCATAACGAGAAAATGTGCCAACATGTCGAGGCCAGCGCGTTCATGGACGCCACGACTTCCGAATGCGGCATCACCTGCTGAGACATGCCCTCAATTCGCATATGCATGGACAGATTGGCTCCGGCCTCTGTTACTAAAGCCTTGGTGATGGAAAAGCCGAAATTGATCATCTCCTGAAGTCTCGATGCACCGAGGCAATGAACGCACGTAACAACAACATGAAGTAAAGTCCTGTACAAGCTTCTTCTGCACGGCATCGGAGACGTCCTCCTCTTGCAGGAGTACGAGCAGAAAATCATGATTCCTATTTCCCTCCACCGTAAGAGCTAACCCTAAACCCCCAAGTAAGACCGAAGACCCCAACTTGTCTAAACATTGCCAGCCCGACCTTCTTCTCGAAAGCCTCGTCCAGTGTCATCTGCGGGACGTGCGAGCGCACCACGTCCTTGTCAGAGCAAAAAGTTTCCAAACCTATCAGCCGCGTTCACCCTGATGCTACTGGTACTACCTACGGTTAAGCCAAGCAGCGGCAACATAAGACTCGACTTGCACATTCACATTGTCCAATTTGTACATCGCCTCAGTGCATTGTCTTTCTCTGCTGGGCAGCAGTTTCAATGGAGTGGTCGGAAGCTCTTCGGACAGGCTGCAAGCTCTGTGTATTCGGGCATCACCGCCTGCTGCACGGCAACCTTCACATGGACGAAGACATCGTCCTGGTCCGAAGACATACCACATGGGAAGCATGGAGCCATAGTGTTGGGGGATGTTGGGGGCGATGCTGACCAAAAAGTCGTATTGCAGGGCGAGGCCTCGCACCGCAGGAGCTCCAAGAAGCTCAGGTATCCACCGCCTCTTGCTCCTCCAGCCCCGGCCTTTTGCGTGACCCCCCTCTTGTTTTCTGTTCTTTTCTTTTTGCGTCTGGAATCGGACCGTATGCCAGGACCCAGGAGCAGGGGGCAGTTCGGGTCGAGCATAGGGAACGTGCCAACGATCGGTTTCCGCATGTTTCCGCCATACAGATTATCTACGTCGGCTGCTTTCAACATGTGCACCTTGCCAGCTTGTGAGGCTCCTCTTGGGCAAAGGCGACCCCCGGCCGAGGCGTTTCGCGTAGCTTTGAAACAGCTGATGGTCACTGATGGTCCTTGGTCTTTGTGGATACCGTCACGAAGTGCTGCTCAGTTCTGGCCGTGATAGAACGCAACCCGACGCAGAGTCCTTACAGAGATGGTGAAGATTAATTAAGTTAGCCCATGGACAGTCGCTGGCAGGAAACAACCCTCAAGTATAATGAATGCCTTGAAACCTAAGCTCCCATCAAGCCCCAGCCCTCCTTTCGACCTGAAACTCTTCGTGCGCATGTCAGGTAAAGACCTCTTAGGGTCAGGAGCATGTTGCAAGAACCCACGACTAGGTTTCAAGCCCGGCATGAATCTGGCAGAAACCTTCATCACAACCCATGCAGCCTGCTGAGTGGTGCTCTATTACCTTAAGAACGCGCTTCTTGCCTGGCACAAGCTTCCGCAGCAGTCCAGACCAACTGCTGCTAAACCTGGCTCCAAGATGTGCGAAAAGCCCCCGAACTTTTCGACGGCAAAGTAACCTCGACACCAGCGAGGCCTACCATTTACTCTCCCCACATGAATGCTCACGGAACTTCTGAGTAAGCAGGCCTTAAACACGACGTGCTATGAGAACACCAACATACACCAACTAAGCGACATGCCCAAAGACTGACTCAAATGCCACGTATGCCACGCAATGCCACGTATCATGCAGCCTATCCGATGTAAAGCATCTTGACTTTGAGCGCAGCAGGGCTGGAAGCACTCGTCTGAACTTTGTCAAGGCACGGTCCTGCGGAACCGTCACCAAGCAGTTTGTGCCGGGCAGACACCCCCTGGCCAGGGGCACAGGACATGCACACCCCAAAGAACCCAAATGTCCAGAGTCACAGAGAATCACGGCTGGCCTTTCCACCCTGTGCATAGCATGCTTCCCTCTCACCGACTCTTCTTCGGAGTCATGAGATGGACATGCCTTCTACGCGGTGCTGAGGCACGGCGACATGATGCGAAATGCAGAGCGAGCAAACATCCAGCGCAGAGTAGGCAGGACTCATGACGGAGGTCATCAACACCTTCGATGAAAAATGCATGCTTTGCAGTCCTTTTTGCAAGGCTTCTGAGCATGCACTCTATGGTGAAACAAGCTCGAGATTTATGGGATGCTCTACGAAACTCATTCATGAATCTCAAGCATCTACGTTATGCGAATCTGGAGACGCCGCTGTCTAGTCATTTTCGCGAACCGTTCAGCTTGAAGATTTCGTTCTGCCTTGCAAGGCATTGTGCTGAGAGTCGCTAACTGCCTTTGGACACGGTGAGACGGCTCGGCAGCCTCTGCCTGCACGCCTGTGTCTTCTCAGACATCGAGCTCAGATTGCGGAAGCAAGACAGCGTATGTTAACCGAAACTTGGCTTGCAAGCCCTCATCGGCAAAATCTCGATGCGGCATTTTGTGAAACACCAAAGGATCCTTCACTGGTTTTCCTTGGACCGAGAAGTCTCATGCAAGAACTCTCGCCTGCTATGAACCTGGAACCTGCTCACCTTTCCAGATCTAGGCCTACCTGCCGCAAGCCCCGGCCCCATGCCAAGGATTGCCAAGGCTCGATAATCTTTCGCACAAATTCTCCATATTCGCACTCGCCGCCTAGGAGCAGAACAAGGGGATGCGTCGGGACAAGGATGTAAAGTGACTGGCTCTTCATCCAGTACGATGGCAAAGCGCTCGAGCGAAACGGGGGCCCTGTAATCTTTGTGATCCGAGTAGCTGTTGTCATCGTCAGCAGCTTGGATCATTTCCTCCGCCCTGAGTCATCATGCCAGATTGGCCAAGACAGATACATGCGTGGGCTGACGGCACTTTCCGCTTCGCCTTTCGATTAGCTAAACACCCCTCCAAAATGCATTAGGGCATGCTCCGAGAAACACAAGATTCTGTGACAGAGTCGATCACCCCCGCCCGGATAAGTAAGTCAACCCAGGCAGCGCACCGTCAGGTGCGCTACCCTGTGCAGGAACCCCTGTCACTGCCAAACTGAGCCCTGGCCATCATGCCCTCCCTTTGCGCATACTGCGCAGGTTCATTGCCATGAGGAATCTGTTGCCGTTCTATGGACAGCTTAGAAGTGCCGTCCGTCTACAATGACACCATACATGCCAACCCATCTTGAAAGATCTGCAACCTTGCACTTGTGAAATGGCCCCACCGAGAGACGTGACTCAGACGCGTGAGGCTTCGCTAGGGATCAGCATCGACGTGGAGTCATCAGCTGAGTGCCCAGCTGCAGCGGGTTGACCTTCACACAGCCAAATGCTGCCAACAGAACATTTCGCAACCTGAAACCTGCAATGCAGTCCCCGTGCAATCCGAGTCCTTTTTCGCTTCGCTTGCCTCTCACAGAAGGGCACCCTCTCTTTTGCATTTAGTAGGGCCTCGAAGCCGAGCTTGACGAGCACGTCCTGCAGCTCGATGGCATCGATCGTTCCGCTCTTGTCCTCGCAAGCTGAAGTGTTTTTATTACTGTTGCTACTATGACGATTGCTATTCTTACGATGGCGATTGTTACTATTATTATTATTATTATTACTATTACTATATTACAGCACAAACAGGGGACGCGCCGGCAAAAGCTTCACTTCAAGCAGGTGGGAGACGAATAGGAGACGTGATTTGCACACCCAACGCCCACGAACGAAGTGCAGCAAATCACCATCCCAACCTAACAGAGCTGATTCTTCTGGCTAGGTCGTGTCCTTGTCAAAGATTTTGAACGCGTTCACCAGCTCATCTTCAGTGATCATCGACCTATCAAACCTCAGATACACTTGCCGAAGGAGACCACATGAAAACACTGATCGTATGCTTTCAATGCATGGCCACTCAAAGGCCAGCCCTTCATTTTCAGCTTGGCGAACATGTTCACCGGATCAGGACATGCTGACATGCGAGGCGGCGCACTTGGCCATCAGCTTCACGAAGCCTGAGCAAAGAGGCTACACTCAAGAGCATCTCAAGAGCTCCTGAAAGGTATTGAAAGGTATGCACCAGAGAATCACAAAAAGACCCAAAAAGACCCCAAACCGCGCTGGTCCAACAGAGCGAAGCACGCTGGAAGTCCAGGATCCCCTTGCCGTGGCTATCGATGTCATTCATGACCTCGACTCAGAAAAAACAGCGACCGCCATGTAGCCAGGTGAGCGCACAGCTCTCTATTCGAGTCTGGCCGAATCAAACTGCATGTGTCTAGATGATGGCTCTGTAAAGATTTAGGAGGACACCATCTGACACCAGCGCTGCTGTCGAGATTGATGGGCAAGGAAGTTGCAGATATTTCCAATGCTGCTCAGAAGCTTGCAGGAACCTGGGCAAGCAAGCTAGCATCAGCCCTTGCATCCCCCAGGATTCCTCTCCCCAATCTGCCAGGCTCAAACGCGCATGCGATATGGGTAGTTCTCTACGTTGGGGTTCCTTTTTGGGTGCTAAACATAGTACGGCACCCGAGGGCACCCGTAAACGATGGATCCCACAAGGGGACCCTTTAGAGAACTACCCATATCCAATCAGCTTGGGCGCTGCCGGTCCGTGGGCTCTTCTCCAAGCCAGGCCAGCGCGGAGCGGATCTGACAGCAGTTCTCTACATTTGGTCATGGGAAGTTTTTCGGGCGCAGCCGTTTAGGCAACTAAGACCCAGAGTCTTGCGCAGATGCCTGCATGGCATCTATTTTACCGTCCTGACAGGCGAGCTCAGGCTGAGGCATACCCTCGCGGCTTCACTCAGAACCTACCAGAAAAGGTCAAGCGCTGCAAAGTCAGTCCCCGAGCACATCGTAGAGGCGGAAGGCCCAGCAGAAATCCCTAAGCTCGGAGTCCCGAAAGCCACACCTCCGGCATCAGGGTAGCTGTCCGACTTCGATCTACTGTGTACAGTCCCGCTTGGTAGCCCCCAAGCTGCCTTGGCTACAGCAGACTAGTTAGCGGCTAGCGAAAAACCTGCCTGTCAGCGAGGAGGTATGACTCCGGGATTCCATCCACTCTTATCCGCTCTTCTTGCTCTTCGCCTCGCTTACCAGTGCACGGTGTATCTCAAAACATTCAATACGGGGGCTGCCCCCTCTGCTCTCGTTGCCAAGGAGCTCATGCTGGGCCGGAAGCTTCACACTTGCGGCAAGGTAGCGTCTGAGCCGAAAGAGGATGTGGAGGATGTGGCACACCAGCCGGGCTGTTCCGGCTGTTCGGGCAAGCTCACGGCAGATTGCAGCAAACGATTTGCAAGCCAACAAGTCCCCTATCCAATTGTGGAGATTTGCAAGCGCGACATTGACCACGGTGTCCCAACACTCAACACTACTGCCAACTCTTCCCTCAAGGCTTTCAGACAGGCCACGCTGCATCTCAATCCCCACAGCCAACGGCAGTGCTTTCATCCTCCCTTCACCTGCCCCTCGCCCTTCGTGCGCAAATTTTTCACATGCTGCCTGAAGCCACGACCACAGGTGGTTTGAGGGCGTTGCATGGGGATAATTTCAAGGCGATTCCCCCGAGTTCCGAGGCCCAAGCTTCCAGGAGCTTCGAGCCTTTGAGGCCCTGCCGCCCGGGCTCCGCTGCCAGGCCTCCACCGCCGCAAAATCAAGCACAAAGTTCCGGACAGCCAAAGTGGGAGAAGAACAGCATGTTCAGTAACACCCGCAAACATGAGTTGGGAGCCAGACAGCCTCCTAAACACGTGTGTTCTCCACTGCTTTTAGAACAGAAGAACTGCATGTTTAGGAGGCTCTCTGCAGCGGCTGGTGCTTTAAGCCCCCTTCACCTCTAAGCCCCCTGAGCCCCTGTAGCACTGAACCCTAACAGGCCAAAGCCCCTCAAGCTGCGAAGCAGTGAACCTTCACCCTCAAGCTGAAAGCCAACCCTGGCATTCAAGGTTTCAACCCTCAACGGCCTTCTACCCTAAACCCTAAACCCTAACCCCCTCGAGCCCTCACTCCTGCATAACCCGGCCGACGTCCCACCCTGGGCCCATGATGCCAATGGTTTAAGGCCTCCTAGAACCCTGCATGTGGTGCCCCCAAGGCCTTCCGGCACGGCCTCTGTCTCCTCGTGCATCTGCAAGGGAACCGAGGACCTGCACGAACAATCCTCTGAGGTCCTTTGAGAGTTATCTGAGTTTTGGATATAATTTGTCGTCAACAGGACTCAAGGACCCCCCTGAATTGGCCCTCACATTCGTCCGACAGCATCCTGTGGAATCCTAAAGCGAACCCAGATCCATGCCCATGTTCGATGTCATTTCGTCACCCCTCGCGCTTCTCCAGGATCTTCAACACCTGGTCCACAGAGACCTTGTTCTTTGCCTCCTGGGATGTCAGCTCAAACGAACCCGCTTCACAGTAACCACCCTCATTGTCACTGCCCGTGTGGCAACAATCCTGCCCCAACTTGCTCCACATGTTCCGCAGCCGCCAGGTGAGGTTCTCAACCTTGGCAGCGAGCCGCATGTGGCTATTTCGCCATCTCAACTAGAACTGGTGACAAAAAGATTTCGACGAGGACCTTTTGATAGATCACCTGCTTCACCTGCCACAGGCTCCTCCCTGTCATTGCAGGTATGGGCCAACTGTCTAAGACGACAACGTGACACTTGGTGCGGCAGTTGTTCCACCTTTGATTGCAATGGGCATGTCGAGAAACTGCTACTAGGCACTACGCTCAGGCTTACGACACATCAAGACACATCAATCAGTGTGGGCTCTGCCTTGGCAGCGGACGCCAGCGATAAAGAAACATTGTTAAACTTGCCCCCGCATCGGCCGACACACACGCAGTTGTAAACAATCGAGATCAACGAAACATGTAATTCGGGATAAGTATGGCTCGTGGTCTCATTAGACCAACGAGTTCCACGGAGCTGCAACCAGTCGGTTCACTGGTCGACAGGCTTGCGTGCTCCCCTACACGACACAGCCCAAAGTATCGACAAAATCAACTATTGTAGTTGTCGTTGTTATGATGTAGCCGCTCTACATGCATGCTGCTCTCTGGCTCTCGAGGCATTATGGATGAGCAGTCATTCCGTCATGTCCCGACCTGCAACCGGTGGTGCCATAATCAGGAACGGACAGGGAAGCCGGTGCCAATTTGAAGCTCATGGTGTCATCGTAGTCGATGGCCAGGCATCCGAGCAGTAGCCAATGGCCTGCAGCTTGGCTTGCAGAACTATTGCACAAGCAGCAAACTGGCGGATTGGATCCCTTCTGACACGCCTGGATGATGGAGGCCACAAAGATCGACATGCTGCCGACGACATCCGCCACATTGGCTCCACACAGTGCCTCTCGCTTGCCTGCTCAATGGCTCTGCAGAAGGCTCTCTGCAAGTACTGCAGCCACAAGGCGACCCTCCCCACCTCGCGCAGGACAGTCCACAAAGCAGAACGACATCATCTGCGCAGTGTACGCAAAGGAGCCAATGACATAAAGGATGTCCACAGCGCATTCCTTGAATAATCTGATAGATCCAGCGAGCCCGATGTAAGGGTACGATGGTTGCAAGTTACTACCGTTAATTACTGTTCCTTGGGTCCCAAGTCGTGACATGTGGTCCGGTCCGCTTCAGACCTTCAGAACAACCTCGAGTTTGCCATCTGGGTTCATGTGGAATCAAGAAGCACTGGATCATAAGGCTGTCAACCACTGATTTTGAAAGAGCTTAATCAGACTAGAAGATCGGGTCCCTAGTCGCGCAGTGCACTTCAGTTCTGAACGCCGTGACCTACTGGTGGAGAGAAATCTAGTGCCGCCTGTAGCACAAAAGTGGGCCTCTCCTGGCTTCGGGCCAATGTTAACCAGGGGTGCACAGTAGCGGGCTCAAAAGCACAGTTGATGATGTTGAAAACGGGGTGCAAGATTTCCTCCGCCCACCGCATCTGTGCATACCAAATTATGGATGAAACTGTGTTCTCGATCGTACTTGCTGGCACCTCTTACCAGAGGTGTCAACTCATGCCAGCTAGGAGCTCAACACATCTGCTACTGCCTACACGAGCAACTGCCGCAAGAGCTGCTTTCCGATCACCACAAGTGCGGGCAGCATCATTGATGGACAGGAAAGCGCGTATCAACCATGCCACCGCATCCACGGCATTGAAGACACAGTTGGCGATCGCAAAGCCACGCTCAGTTCCCGCCCTTGTGAGGCGCGAAATATTTCGAATGGTCTCAATGGTGTCGTCGTCAGTGACGCCCAGTACCCGCGGATCTATTCCAGCAGTCTTTGCTTCAAAGAGGACGTTGGGCAAGGCGGCGTGATGCTCGTCTGGGCGCTTGCTGCTTCTGCTCTGCAGCCATCTCCGCACTTCAGCCGACTTGTTCCGATACAACTCAATGTTTTTGTCGTTGGGGGCATCTGGCGTGGACGTGCGCGCTTCAAGCAGGCCTCAGAGAGCCAAGGCAAGGAGTGGAGGTGACCAGTGATATCCAGTGACCGTTTCAGCCAAAGCAAAACAAAGGTCCGTAACAACCACCAAAAAGTTAGCTGAGCTAGCTGCAAACCAACAAAACCCACCAAGAAGACACTCTGGGCGGGACACGTCGCTCCTCTGGGGGGAAGGGCTGGCCCAGTGAATAGATCTTCTCCAGGATTGGCGGTATCTTTCTCCTTTTCTGAAACACCCGGCTGTCCATCAACGGCCTGCAGAGAGTTTCAAGGTAGGATACTAGAATGTGGCCACGATACGTTACAGAATGCTCTGGCATGCTATCAACACAGGGACCATAAGCCGACCTGGCCCGACCTGGCCACTGAGCGCCCTGGGTCCCCTGAGTCTGAGCCCACGGCTTCGTGAGAAAGCAATCCTCCTTGAAGCCAAAGATGGTCGAGCCCGCGGCCGCGAGGTCGCGAAGCCTTGTTTCAAATTGGGGGAATTCGAGGGGGATGCATTGGCTTTGTAGAACTCAGAACCAGACCTCCATTCAGCCGAGACACGTGGCAGCCACACATGCGCTTGCAGGAGAGAGTGACTCCGCACAGGATCCGGCAGCACTGGCCAGGAAGGAGCCCACCCAGGTCAATTCCTTTTAGGGGTTTTATTGGGGTTCCTGTTAAGCGTTTCGGAGATGCTTTCGGGCAACGGCAAGCGTGGGTTCGGTCCTGAACCCCTAGGTGAACTGGTGCCATATTATCGGGTGCCGCATGCTGCATGCTGCCAGGACGTGCTGTGACATGCCTTTTGCCACCAAGTCACCGTAACGGCGTAGGCGACAGGCTCAGTACATCCCAGGGGCTCAGCGTCAGGACAAATCGCTGCCCGATAGATATTAACGATAGCATTCCCCAGATATGCAGAAGCTTGCACTGTATCGATGACGCAAGTGGTCGTCACCACCTGGGGAGTAGAACATCATTTCCAAACAACTGCAATGAAATTCAATGAAGGCTCCTCTTAGCTTCAGTCCACAACGGCAAAGAAAAAAGTTTCCGCACCTTCGCTTCTTCGGGATGCGTGCTGTAGGGCACACCCACGTCGTCAAACAGGGACACATCGAAGAGCCTGCGCTCCAACAACATTTCAAAGGCGTCTTCCGAGGAGCTCGTGCTGCCGGGAAAAGGTACCTGGCCCCGGAGGGAATAGAGGGAGATGGTGCCCAGAATTCCCAGGCAAAGAGCTACACCGACGACTGTCGAGATCTTTGAGATCTTCCTCGTCCCAGCATAGACAAGCCAGGGTGAAGGGACTGCCTCAACATCGAAACCTGAATCCTCAAAGCCGCGCTGGAGCAGACTGCTCCCATCCTCTGCAGTCTGGTAAGCCATGAGCCCCCCACAGAGCCAGCTGGCGGGAACTGTTTGTCACAACAAGCGACATCATAAAGGAAGCATGTCAAACGAAACTGCGCCGATGATGAAGCCTCTAGCTGCCCGCGATTCTACACTTTTCTACACTTGGCATCTGAGCACTTGTCCCGGGCCATGTGCCAATCGCCACCGCGCTCCGTCCTCCTCGGTGACAGGCTTGTGACATGTTCAGTCCAATGATAACTGATTCCACCCTCTAGAAATTCCACTAGCGCGCGCCTCTGGGAATTCGTGTGCCGATCTGCTCTCCCGGAGAGAGGCTCTAGAAAGTACACATAAGTGCTCCCAGCAATGTCAACCAGAGGGACAAAGGCCCCAAAGCCTGGAGCTTTCATTGATTATCTGCCACACTACCTGAGATGACCCCAGATGCAGAAAAGGCGCATGTGTGTTGAAAGCATCCACAGCTGTTGCGGGTCAATATTCTCCTCCGAAGCAGCTGCCGGATGAATAACCGGAGAGACTCCGCGATTGCACGGGATTGGCTGCCCAAGCACAGTCCTCATCCTCCACCATGCGCAACAGCTCGCCCATCGAGTACTGCGCCCCTGCCTGGCAAAAACTTGCATCCATGGCATTGCGTGAACAAAGCTGCTGGTAAGAATCACGAATAACAGCACTCAGCATTGAACGAAAACAAAGGGAAATACACGTAGTTCCAACATCTAGGTTCCGCCACGGTAGACCCGGAACAGTGCAAGATCACCAAAGCATTCCGAGAACCATCAAGAACCACAGCTTTGCCCTTCACGAGGAGCACGAGCGCACCCGAACTCCCCGGAAAAGCGGGAGCTCCACTTGCTACACCCTAAACGTTGGGACCCCAAGGGTTAAGGGTTTCAGGTTTAGCGTTCAGAATTCAAGGCTCAGGGGTGCTGTCACGGAATTAACTTTGCATTCTTCCAAACCTCGGTGTGGGCCTGTTCTCGGACAGAACCCCCTCAGAGAACCACTGATGAGTACCCACGCCATCCCAACTCCCAAAGATCCCATGCCCATGGTATCCCACACCGCATTTTGCACGGTATCCCAAGAACATCCTGGGGCGCCAAGTTCATTGATGTTGTTTGCTCTTTCACTCGCTCAGCTCAGAAATTGCAACACGAAGAAAGACCACAGTGAATGCAGATACAGGCCGTTTCACTCTTTCTCTGATTCTACATTAGTAACTGAGCAGTCACATGTTTAAAAGCACAGAACAAGCAAATCCCACGCGTAGATGAGCCCACACTTTTCGGAGTCTGGCGAGAATGGCGGCTTTGCTGCAGCCCGTCTGCGCAGCCGGCTCTCCACTGGACTCTGTATGTGGCAGGCAGTCAAAAATGTTCGCCGTACCTTGCATGTCCATTGGGCGCCCCATACAGCACAGAGACCAAGAGCAAGAGCAGACAAGCCTGTGTCCTGCTTACTGCGATGTTCACTACTGCAGACCGTCCGAAAGCGGCAAAGGCAACAACGTCAAAAACGGCCCGCCGACATCCGACATCATCCCTCTGTGAACACTACGTACAGCGAGACGTACAAGTACCGATACACAACCTTTGCATCTACCACTGACGATCAAGCAAGTCAATCAAGTAAGCAGGACTCGCCAACAAGCTCCATCCAGACTGGAGTTAGCTAAGTCAAGAATGGTCAAACACAAACTGAATGCGCGCACGCGCCAAGGTGAAACACTTGCACGACCCACGAGATTCTCAGATGAAATCTTGCACCTTGTCCAGCTGCTCTTTGCCTCTCAACAACTGCCAGTCCAAACGCCGGGGCACTGGTTCTGAGAATCCTGACATACCCTGACAACCTGTCTCGCTGCAACCTTCGAGCCTTGGATCGGAGAAGTCCTTTGTGCCATGCGGCTATATGCGGCTATTGGCTCACCATTTTGCTTGCTTCAGCTCACGAGCTGTGTGCATGTTATGCCGCGTTGCTTCCTCGTTTCGAGAGCGAGCGGCAAAGTTTGGAGTCTGTGCTGAGTGCTTGCACCAAGTCTAAGTGTTCTTTGTTTATCGTCCGGCCTGCAGTGACCTTCAGTGTCTGAGAAGCCTGAGTCCGAATGCGGCCACTCCTTTCAGGCATGAGTTTAAATTTCTGCAATTTCTTCCCCTGAACGCGTTCCAAAGGCCCGCAAAGATATTTGGCCTGACGGAACCAAAGCTAATAAGCTCAGAGAGCTTTAGACTTTAGACACGTGCATCACCAATGTGGAAAGCTCAACTTGTCTCGATGCATTCGTTGCATTGCCGCTCATCACCGTGATGGCCTTGCCTGGATCATCAATCAAGCGATGCCACTGGTCCGACGTACTTGACTTCCGAAGCGTCACGGACACCTGAACAATGCTCAGCTTGAATAAGCTACCACGCGCACGGATTCAGCAGATGATTTCCAGTCCCTCCAAATCGGATTCCACTCTTGGCTCTGTTGATGCTTGCAAACGCGCATGCTGCCTTGTGGCCGCTTGTAGACAACGAGTACTTGCACTCCTGTCGAGACACAAGTAGCAGCGGCAGGGTCAGATGAACAACGATGTCCGCAGCCACGGCGAAGGTTGAGTAACGAGCAGTGGCTCACAGGTTTGACATTTGACAGCAACGTGCCTTGGCCTGCACAGGGCCAAACAAACGCCCCGAGAGTCGCCAAACGCGGCCGCCCGGGCCAAGCAAGTAAAGCGAAAGCCGCCGCTCCTGCCCAAAAATGATCTCTCATGCGATACAAGAAAGGTGGCGTGACATATCGTGGCATATAGACTGCAACAAGAAAGGCATCGCACCTTCAAAACCCCATGCGAGTTGGGCCGGCTTGTAGTCATTCTAACACCCGCAACCCTGCTGGCTCCCGTTGTGGGCTCATGCACCTACGCAGTCTACGGCCCGGAATCGTGGCTTGAAACCTGCAGGTCTGTTCTTCGCGCCAGATCCGAGCACGTCTGCCGTGCAAAAGGCCAATGGGCTGCATGGGCTGCCTAACCCCGCCCGCCGCCGGCCGCCACTACATTCGCAGCGTTGTGGTCACTAAGGCTCGTTGCGGCGCTCGTGCATCTGGCATCCATTCACGCGCCCTCGCAGCTGTGTGGGCTCTGTTGCTGATGGTTTCCACTATTTGCGTCGTCATGCTGCGCCATGACAGCTTAAAGACCGCGCACGAAGCGTCAACAGTCAAGAGATTGCAGCAACACAGAAGCCAGCTGCTTGTTTGCGCCAAAGACCCCGCGCCTGGAAGGAGGCGTATGCGTCGGTAAACTGGTCGACTTCCAGCTCCTCGGCCTTCACCTGCGCTCCTACGTTCTGAACTCCTAGTCTCTTTGTCTTGCCATCTATTGGACGTTTCAAAATGCTGTTGCGTGTCCAGCATACATCGATGCACAACCAGAAGAACATTACATTTGCACCTCAGAATGATCTGCATGTCCCTATGCCAAGACAGCTTGCAGTCAAGCAGCATAGATTTTAACTGTTCCTGCGCGGGTACGGGGCGACATTTACATCCATGCCAAATCACACGTTCCAACTGTCGGGTCTACCTTCGTTGCAGTGTAATCATGAGACAAAAAACCGCAACTTTGTCATTGGCAAAAGCATTGTATTCGTAGCAAGTTGTCCTTTTTGGCTGCCTTCGTCCAGAAACATGTACTTCGTCCTGAGTTCAGCGTGCGGCCGACTTGCAAAATGTTCGTCCCCCATCGCCATTCGTGCACGGAAACTTCATAATGTGGTCTGCAGGTGCTGACATGTGCGAGCACAGGTTGAGCGGCGGACATTTGTTCAGATGTTCGCGAGATCCACTCAGGCTTCCCATCTGCAACAGCATCATCGTCATCATCCTCCGCCTTGGCCGGGGTCGCGTGCTCAAGTCTTGCTCTTCTCCACTCCCGTTTCTGGAATGCTGAATACAGTGAATACAGCCCAGCCCAAGTCCGAAATTGATTCTGCTCTCAAGCGCGACGGGCCCACCAAGTTTAGCCCACCTTCCCGAGCACGAGCAGTACTGCTCTCGCCTCAGCACGCTCGTTTGCTCTCGCACTTCTTCTTCGATGGAATTAAGAGCATGGGAGTATGCGTGCCAACGCATTTTGTCTAACGGCTCTCAGCTTTCGGCTTGGCTCTGCATAGCCTGGCACATTTTCCAGGCCCTGGGGCAGGGCAAAGCTGGTTGCAACGCGGAGCTGTGAGGTGACACGAAGAGCTTCCAATCACAGCAACCCTTGGGCAGGGCCTAGGGGGTGTAAGTGTTGGGGGGGGGGACCCCCTAGGGTACATTTCCGACCCCCCTGTCCATGTAGGCAGCACCCCCCTTTGTCGGGACATTTTTACACCTACATCTGTAATCTCTTCGGTCCGCCTCGCGTTCGCGAAACCCCCCCTGCAGCACATTACCCCCCCCCCCCCCCCCCACGGTACATTTTTTCAGCTTCCTTTGTATAGGGTTCAGGCAAGCAAGCTCTTGAGGGCCTAGCAAGGCAGGGCACAGTGTAGGTTTTGGGTCATGTATTCGGCGAGCTGCGGCTTTGGGCTGCTCATGTCTGCTCTCGCTGGGAATATGCAGAAGCGATTCCGGTGCCCTTTTTTTCTTCTGCGGTCGCTCACCCCTCGAGCTTGTTCTGTGCTTGCACTCGCCCCACGAGCGCGTCTAATTTGCTGCAGCCGCCACTACCCGTCAGCTTTTGTTGGGTTCTCAGGACTTCTCAGTACTTTGTGGAACACCTTCAGACCCATCCCTGTAGGAAAACGGATTTCTCTCAGGTTGGGTTCTGAGTACAACTCCTGTAAGAACCCGACTTGGCATCCTACCTTCTACCTTGTCGGTTCTCTCTCCCTGAGTCTCTCTCTCCGTGCGAAACTTTCCCCAAAAACCATTCTCTTTCTCGCTCTGTTGCTTTCCAAAACATGGCCAGCTGAGCAAAACGAATCGACTTTCTGAGCCCTGATAAATGTGGCAGGGCGCGCGAGCGACCATAACCGACCGGGATAAAAAAAAATGATACTAAAATTATGCCGGCCCGACCCGAAAATGTAACTTGAGGGGGGGTTTTGGGACGTCCCGGAAGATCTGCCGACATTTGGACGTTCGACACTCCCCAACCAGAAAAATGTACTCTAGGGGGGGGGCACCCCTCCACGTGTCTGCGCGGCCCTCTGGAAACAGCCGAACGCCCCCCCCAAAGTACATTAACAAGGGCCCCCCTAGGGCAGGGCTCAGCTTGGTCGATCGTTTGCCCCTCTAATCCCTCTACTATCTGTCATAGTCTTTTTCGACAGGCTCAATCGGCAACACTGGAAGACACAGGCTTTCCTGTGGAAGGTGGTATCAGGTTGCCAGGACCAGCTGGCTCACATTCGCTCACAATCAGTCAGCCCACTCAACTTCCCCAGTTTGCACCTCTTCGGATCCGCGAAAGAACTTCGAAGTGACTCTCTGAACCTTAAACGAGCACCGACTGGATTCTAAACTCACGATGCATGAAACACAGACTGTGAGGACCGGGCTGCACTGCCGAGATCCTCCAGGAGCTCCGAAGCAGAGCCTTCTAAGCTGCCCGGGACCAGAATTACTGCCAGCGCCGCCACATGTCGCCAAAAGCCCCCATTAAAAATCTTCAAGGTTGAAAATCCCCAGGGCCTCGCTCCAGCGCGGACCGCAAAGCTTCAGGGAGGCCGGCACATTGGCGGTGCATGGCTCAAGAGCCCAGGGACCCTCAGAAGAGAGGCAGGGACCTTTCTTTGGACCCCTCGAAGGGCGCTTCATACACTTCTGAAGTACTCCTTGAGATGTTTTCAAGGTTGTTTGAGGTTGTTTCCGGGGGCATGGGACTGGAGGGATTGATGTGTCCTTAGGGCCTTCGGGGGGGGGGGGGGGGGGCTCGGGCTGGTTGCTTCAGGCATTGGAGTTGGAGTTCGTCGCCCACAGAAAAAGCAAGTGGCAGGTCGGGAGGGCTTCTGGTGGACGTGTGGATGCTTCATGGGCTGCAGCATCCACGAAGGTCGCACACCGACAGCCCCGGCAAGTGCACTTAACAATGAAACTTCAATTGCGCTGCGCGGGCCGGAGCAGGCTCGAAAGTTAACGCCGGGTCTGATTCCGACAGGAAGGTCAGGTCCTGCGGCTATCGGTTGAACAACTTTGGTTGCTTGATGGTGCTTGCACAAACTTTCAAGTCTTGCCACACCCTCTGTTCGAGCCAGCTGAGTCGTCCGCATGGCCCATTCCAACCCAATTGCCTGGCTCCGTGCACACAACCCTGCGCACACTTCTGCAGGTGCATCACATCAGAAGCGAGCCAGCCGCGACCATAATGCAGATGCTCTAGGGAACCATATTGATCCTGACGGGCTGTGATGGTGGCAAGGCACTGGAGGTTTCCATAGGTTTCCTCACTCAAGGCGTGATTGAACAAATGGCCGTGGATGTCAACTTTGGCTTTGACTTTGTATAGTATACTACTGCGGCGATCACATGCGCAGGACGCAGCAAGACACAACAGGGCGCAACAGGACGCAACAAGCCTACAGTGTTCCTGAGGGACCCTTGAATGCAGACGGGCCACAACACAAAATGAGTACTGCGAAGTACCGGCCTTCCAGGATGTGGAGACGCACATGAGCAGATCTGACTGTGTTGTCGAAGAGCGAAACGATGCGAGATTGCTCAACGGACACAGAAGGTGTGATCAGAGGGCCTGGAGGTGGAAGGTGCTGTAGGTACCCTCGAAGAAGATGAGGTTGTTCTCCTTCTCAGACATCCACATGCTGGCTCACTTGGCTGCTCTCACGCCTGGCAGCATCTGCTCGAAGCTAGCTCGCGGCCTTGTGCGAGGAGGCCTTCTTGGAAGCACCCTGCCAGACACATCCCCCTCGCACACCACAAGGCACACAGATCGCCTTCGCCCTGCAGTGGGCCTGGCTCTGTTCCTTCATCTGTGCCGCAGCCACCTGCGGTCATTGCGCTGGCACCATTTGCTAGGGATCCTGAGACAACTTGCAACACGTCCAGAAAAAAATTCCAAAGGGGATCGCACCCTTTCTGCACCCTCTCTGCCTCAGCCTGACAGAACGAGCTCTCGTTTGGTCTCAGCGGGGCCTCAGATTGATCGTCCATGTCCCAGCGAAGCCTAATTGCCTAACCCTTTTAGCGCTACGAAGCTTGTGGAAAGGCTCGTCTCACTCCCATCCATCAATGGCTGTTTCCCCATGTGCGGGCATTATGCACGGAATGGACGACTGCGACAACGGAAATGCCAAGTTCCTTAAGACTGATCGAAGTGCTTCAGCGTTTCTCTCAGCAACATTTTGGAACTGCCTGACTATGAAAATTACTCGGCTAAGGTTATTTTGACCTGGAGTATAAGTCACCTTACCAGACTCAAGAATGCGCATCGATGCCAAATTCGACTCGGCCGCGGCCCCTAAGACCCTCGAGCTCCTCTCCTACCCCACTGTGTTCGCGTTAAGCACCCTAGGAGACCGCCAGGGACGCAGTCGTCTCTCCAGTTTTCAAAGCCCTAAGTCCTAAAGTCCCTAAAACTCTCGACTCCCTGAATTTTTTCTAGACAATCAACGAGAGCTAGACGCGCACAGTGTTTGCACAGCTTCAATGTACATGTTTCATCCCAGCGATTGAAACTGAAATAGAATTTGCAGCTGATAGTATCGCCCTTACATTCCTGGCCCAGCTGTCCGCCCTTAAACCGGCCAAGACATGTGACCTCCCTTCTGTTCATCCACCTCGATCGCGTTGTATGCATTGACCCACCGCACCCAACCCTTCCCCCCATCCGGGCTTGTGGGACCCCCCCATAGCTTGGAGGAGCTGCAAACCGATGCTGTGGGGGGTCTCGCCTGTCGGGGGCTGGCACCCGTGTGAAAAGCTCTGGGACCCGCCTGGGAACCCCTGGGACCTGCCTGAACCCCCTGCCACCTTGCTCAGACCCCGCCACGCCGTGGCACCCCCGCTCTTTCCTCCCCGGCTGCCGAGGCGGCGCGCACAAGCGTTTACAATTAGCCTCTAAACACCTGGCGCCTTAAACCCTCCCTGCAGTCAGTGCAAAAGAGAGAGGAGAGAGAGCGAGAGCGAGAGCGAGAGCGAGAGCGAGAGCGAGAGCGAGAGCGAGAGCGAGAGCGAGAGCGAGAGCGAGAGCGAGAGCGAGAGCGAGAGCGAGAGCGAGAGCGAGAGAGAGAGAGAGAGAGAGAGAGTGGAAGGCTTGGCCCCAGGCAGACCGCGTCGAGGATGGCCGCACAGGGCTCATTGGGCTCGCCCCTCCTGATACGGTGTTCAGGACTTCGTATCAACACATCTGCGCATATTGATATATCTAAGTATGTATATGTGTTAAATGCATATGTATATTAATTAATTATATATATATATATATATAGTATCCCCCCCCCAAAGATCTACCGTTTTACCACCTTTTTCAACAATGAAACAAAATCCGTCTGCCTCAGAATGAAACTTGACAATGAAACAAAATCCGTCTGCCTCCTGCCTCGAATTAAATTCCCCCGCAATCTTACCGAGACATCTTGGAATCTCACATCTCGCACCCCGGCCGATTGAATTGAATCGGAAACGATTGAATTCAATCGGCCGGGATTCAAGATCGAAGATCCAAGATTCCCCAACACTCTTGCCTAGTCATCTTGGAACCTCAAATCTTGGTCCCGGCCGATCGAATCCAATCTGAAACGATTGAATTCAATAGGCCGGGATCCAAGATCCAACATTCAACATTCAAGATTTCCCAGGACTCTTGCCGAGTCATCTTGGAACCTCAAATCTTGGATCCCGGCCAATTGAATTCAATCGGAAGCGATTGAATTCCATCGGCCGGGATCCAAGATCCAAGACTTGAGATTCCAAGATGACTGGATGACTAGGCAAGAGTCCTGGGAAATCTTGAATCTTGGATCTTCGCGCTTCTCGTTGGGGTTTCACCTCGTGTAATTGAAACCGACGAACAAGAACTACCAAGCTGCAAGAGACAACCGCACGCCTACCAAGCCTCGATTCACAGCAGCGATGTCGTCAACTGCTTTGATGATGAACGGGCAGCTGATCTTGTCGCCCAAGTCCGGAAAGTCCTCATGCCATCTATTTGCCAGCCAGCAACAATTCCCCTCACACTTGTACCTCCAACGCTGACCGCCTGCCGGAGCAAGCTAACTTTCCTCGGCGACGCCAGCTACTCATGTTCATTGCGCATGTATGCTTTAACGTGACGCAATCCTCGGAGCCGAGGAAAGCGTCGGCAGCGGCTAGGCCGCGCGTCGGCTCGGCGACAACTTCGAAGTGGAATGCCGCTTTCTTCAGGAAGCTCTTGTGTTTCTTGACCTTTCTGCAGAAGACAGCGCCCCAACGAAACAAAATCCAGGAGCACTATTCCGCAACTACTGCTAGGATTGTTTCGGTCATGGTTCAAAGGGTACTGCAGCAGTACCTCAAGCACGACCCTCATGCTAAGAAGATACCCCACTCACAAGGTCGAACACGAGAGTCCTCTCCAAACATGAGCCTGAGCTTCCGGAACCACCACGTACTTGTCGTTGTCAGGAAACATGTCCTGCAAACAAACAGTCATGTGCGACTGCACAACCGCACAACAAGGCAATAAAGATTGAATGGGCGCGGGCGCTTTCAACACCGATTACAGACGCACTGACGCCAAATAGCCCAAGTCCTGCAACACCGGCCCGGAGGTGAACTCGCTCGCGGTGGCTCGGGTCTGCGAAACTCAGCGACTGAACCGTTGGCACCACAAGTCCTCCACACACTACCCTCACAAGGCCTTGGACACCACGCTCACCGGAAGAGACGCAAACTCGGCACAACGGCCATGCCGACGAAGGCTACAGAGAAGAATTCAAGCAGGCTGGTTCGAGCAATACAGCTCGACGAAAGAGTGCGTGTGCTGCGATGTCACTCGACTTCGAGAAAGCTAGAAGACTCTGAATCACAGCTTGTTATGGCTAAGAAGAAGCCAGGAGAGACACCAAATCCCGGCCGCACGAAAATGCTTTAAGATGCCAGGGAAACCCTTCAAGCTCCGAAGATACAAAGAACTCAACCGACAAACAAAGGCAGAGCAACTCGAACACCAACAACACACGGACATCTACCCTATCGGGTTAGCCCTATAGGGTTTAACGCTATGGGGGTTAAAGATTTAGAGGTTAAAGTTCAGGGCATTGCAAAACGTAACCCTAAACCCTGGGGTTAGGGTTTAGGTTTTAGGGTCCCAAACCCTCCATTTAGGGTTTAGGGTCCCAAACCCTCTACCTAAACCCTCCATTTGGGGTTTAGGCTCCCAGACCCTCTACCCAAACCCTAGGAGGGCATCTGGAAAGAGGACATCTGGAAAGAGGGCATCTGGGAGGGAGAAGGGCATCAAAAAGCCGACCAAACAAAAGCCGACCAAACAAAAGGCGACAAAACCAAAAAAAGGCGACCAAACCAAAGAAAAGAGTAATAGGTTTGCAACCTAGAGCTGTTCATAATCAGACTCCTCTAATGCTCTAGGCGCCACCTTCGCTGGCGAACCCTAAACCACGAGCTTTACAGAGTTTAGAAGGGTTTTTGGAAGGGTTAAGAACAGTTTGAGAAGGTTTTGTTGAGGGCCTAGAAGTGTTTAGAAGGTTTAGAAAGGTTTAGAAAGGGGTTTAGCAGGGTTTGGATCTGGGTTTAGAAGGGTTTTCGCAGGGTTTGAAGCTGAAAGGAGCTGAGGAGCCAACTGCCAAAAGAGCCCAAAAGGAGGAAAACAAAGGCAAAAGAAAAACCCGCTCAAAACTTTCGCTCAAAACTTTTTGGGACCTGAACCTAAACCCTTAAGACCCCCCACATACCCCCCAGATACCCCCCACATACCCTTTAGAAGAGGAAAAAGAGTGCCCCAGATACCCCCACATACCACGTGCGACAGCTCTCTTGACTTTTGAGACGTCGCCCGGGAGTCAACCATATTGAAATCATATCTGCCTTCTGTACTGGCAGAGCCCTTGTATCAGCCAACCATATTGAAACCATATCAAAAAAATATTTGGACATGTGCCTGTTGTCTATGCTTTCTACATCACAACACTAAAGTACTAAAGGCAGCCTTAAATGAAAAGTGAAACAAGCCTCAGGCACTCAGGCCTCGTCTTCCGACTCCTCCTGACGCCAGCGTCAACGAAGAAAAAAATCAAGCAGTTAAAACAACAACATGTTACCTAAGTCAACCGCGGAGGTCCTCGTCCTCGTCGCTGCCCTCGCCCTTGCCCTTGCCCTTACCCTCGTCCTGACGTAGAAATCAAAGAGATGTACACTCACCACTCCAACATGCTCCAACATGCAACCAAATATACAAAACATGTCTATCTACGTATAACCTAAGTCAACCAAAGAGATTCTCAGCGGCCTTCCAGTTGTGCTTGCCCTTGCCCTTGCCCTTGCCCTTGCCCTTGCCCTTGCCCTTGCCCTTGCCCTTGCCCTTGCCCTTGCCCTTGCCCTTGCCCTTGATGTTGTTGTTTGCGGTTGGTGATGATCTGAGAACCGCTGCGCAGCCAAGCCTGCAACAATGCCTACCACCGCCAGGACATGCGTATGTGCCTTGTTCTGTTGCATGTTGCTGTGGTGCGTACACTTGTCTTTTATTCATGCTGTGAGGATAAGGGCAAGGGCAAGGGCAAGGGCAACGGTCGCTGTTGTTCATGCCACCGTTCTTGTTTGTCTGTACTTCTAAGGACTTCCACGGCAATCCCCCCACATGCAGTTCCCCCTGGTTCACGCCAACGAACACACCCACCCTCCCCAGCCCCTCCCACTCTTCCACCCACTCACCACTTCCAGTCAACACCGATCAACCGGCAGATTATTCCACCCCTTCCGACTTGCCACCACGCCCCCACCCCAACGCCGACCTCAACCCCCCCAGCCTCACACTCAACCTCCTTGACCGCCGCAGTGCCCCCACACAAGCCCCCCCCCCCCCCGCATGCGGAGACGCAACGATGTGTCCACATACCCATGTCGCGAATGCGAACGGTGCCAACAACTCCTGGCTAGAGGCAGTGCCTGGTATGCATTTTGGTTGTGTTTGACTTGTCTGCTGGTCGCTTGAAAGTCCCTCCCCTCTTCTTCTAAAGGAAAAACAATATCCAGGCAAGACACCTCGTCCCACTCGATCTTTAACACCGACACCGACCTGCAAGGGCCATAAGCATTCGCGAGCCTCCTCACGTACGGCCTCACAAAGCAGCTTGCCTACAAGACGTCGTAGAACCTCCCCGACCGCGATGGGGCGGACCCCTCCGGTTTTTTCAGGCAAAGCGTGCAAGGAAGCACCGGCCAGGAAGGGAGCAACAGAACGAGGCGCCTCGCCCCGTGCAAGAGTGTGGGAAAGCAGAGCGAGGTGCGCAGCGACCTCATCTGCGCGCGCAGTTTGCAAAGCCTCGCGCAGGTGGTCCGGGCGCAAGCCAGTTGGGCCTGGGGCCGACGCGCGCTTAATGCCGCGCACAGCGCGAACGACAGCCTGGGCCTCGAACTCAGGAACGGCCGCAGGGCGCGAGGGACCCAACTGGGTAGGATCCCGCAAAGCAGCTTGTATCCTCGAGTTGTCTAAATGTCTCTGCACTTGGCGGCAGCGAAGTGGGCTCGACCAAGGCGGCACATGTAAAAAGGGTATATCTCCGTGGGGGGAGAAGCATATATGTATATATACATATATATATATGTATCTGTATACATATATATATATATACATGTATTTACTTATTTATCTTTTATTCATGTTTTCTATACTACAGATAAGGACCGCAGGACCCTTAAGGGCCTCTATGTCCACGATTCATATGTCAACCGGGGAGATCCGCTACTTCCTCAAGATGTTCACTTGGTTTATGAGGAAAACCTCAACCTCTACCTCCTCAATGCTAAATGGGGATGCCCCTATTTCCTTTATAGTTGACTAGCAACACCTATGCTTCCTCTATAGCTTCTTTGAAACACCTCTATGTCTCAGTCTCCTTACCTCTCGATTTAACCACCCTTGCTACCAGCATCGTGCATGCCTCCGCCTCCTCACGGCTTCACAACAGGAGCTGGAACCGGGGGACGCCAAGCCCCCATTTGGAAACATAATGCTCGCATGTCTCTCGTTCTGTCCAGCTGTGATGCATTTCTCTATTCTTCTATCATTTCTTATCTGCACGCGGTTGCCTTTCTTATTTATGTATGTCCGTACTTATCCGCTTCTGTGATGAGATATGTCTGTAGTCTTTATATGTTTACTCATGGCATTCTTCGACCTACTTGCCTCGATATGTCCTGATTTACGAAGTTTTTCTTTATGTTATCTTAGGCCGCGTTAGCTTTCTAGTCATACGTGTACATACCGCATGCATGCGCTCCTTTACTTCAGGGTGGGGTTGTTGATGTACTTTTTGAGATTTGTTGCCTCATGTCTATTTTTTCTGTTTCTGCACGAAATTTTATGCGTTGGTTTATGTCTTGGTTTCTCGGTGTCTGTATTTCGTTCTGTCGCTATTCTGCTTTCGAACCTCTGAATTTCGCTTGTCCTTCTCGTTCGTTCGATATACTATCTGCATATCTGAAACTGCTTTATCTTTTTCTTTATTGGTCAATTTCTTGATCTTTATCTATACCTCTTCATCCTACTTTCCATTTGTTTAACGTTGATCTCTCGCGCGTTTGTTTATGCACGGCGTGCTTTCCTTTATTTTTCCAAGGAATTTCTTTGGTTTTGCCTCCTCGTTCCACCTTCTGCCCTTCCAGCCGCCTTTGGCCTCGTCGACCTTCGAGCTTTGGCTTGGTTGTTGAAATGCAGTTCAACAGCTTGCTCAAAATGCTGTTCAAGAGCCAGGCACATGGAAACACTCGGTCCGCTCCTCGATCATCACGGCTCGCAAAGCTTTGCAACGAGCCCGATCTGCCCCTGCCATGCGCATACGACATTCATGACACCCATCAGGGTGAGCACTTGAAAACGCAGCATGGGCTTTTGATTGCATGATACGCCTGTGGCACACTCTTGCCCCAAGTTCACAGGAGCGGTCACATGCCATGCTCTTTGCAGCTTGAAGGCCTCGCCGCCAACCGTGACTGCCTGCAAGGAAGCTTTCCCATGTCTCGGCAGTGAAGCAAGGTGAAGCAAGGTGGGCAAGGTGAAGCCAGGTGAAGCAAGGTGAAGCAAGGTGAAGCAAGGTGAAGCAAGGTGAAGCAAGGTGAAGCAAGGTGAAGCAAGGCGAAGCAAGGTGAAGCAAGGTGAAGCAAGGTGAAGCAAGGTGAAGCAAGGTGAAGCAAGGTGAAGCAAGGTGAAGCAAGCGTTGCAGTCCACTGAGATTCAAAGCGGTCAAAGCGGTCAAACCCAACCATGCCAAGTCAAAGGTCAGAGAGCCTGGTAAGCTCAGCTTCTGGTTCGTAGCCATCCCCCAAATGCACCTCGAACACAAAAGCTCAACTTTTTGATGAACGTTCCTTTGCACCACAAGCTTGAGGGAAGGCCAACAGAATTCTTTCATGCAACTGCAACCGAGCTGCGAGGTCTTGGAAGGAGTAGCTGACCCGGGGCCTGGACTTCCACTTCCAAGACGAGCAAGTTCCAACTCACGATTTCGAAAGTAAGGAGTCGTGTTCACACCGCATGTTGTGATATATCGTGATATGTGCTGCTTTCTGTCGTGTCCCGGTCAGCCATTTTTGTCATCTCGTCTTGCGCACCTGTACATCTCCTGCTGGCGGCCTTTCTGCATATGGCCCTTCAGCTCTTGAGGTCTGCACAAGCCTCCAACAGCTAACTCAACATAACTTCATATCACAACAAGTACACACGTACGTAGCTACGATTCGCTACTACGTGTTGATCTTTGCTATGTTCGCAAAGCACCCAAAATGGGATGCATCTGCGCTGCAATTCAGCGCGAGGGTCTCAATTACTTCCAGCGCAGTGGTTAAAAGAGACGGTTCTGGCATTTCGCTTTTTGCACCATGCGGCTCACTTGGGCAGAGGAGATGAGGTCTTCCTTAAGCAGGTTTGTGGATGCGGCCGTGGCCGGAGCGGACACCGGCATGGGAGGCATAGTGGCAGGCATGGCCGCCCATGGTGCAGGCACAGAGAAAGCCTCACCTCCCCTGCCTCCCCGGCCACGACCTCCCCTCAGGACACCCCCGTAGCCCGCGGAGCCCGCACCAGGAACACTGGAAACGACCTTACTGAGTTCCTGTTTGACGCTCGCAAGGGATCTTTTCTCGCTTGCGGGGCCCCAGCATACTCTGTTTGCGTACGCCATGTGCCCGTCTGTCTCCATCTGCACGCTTGTCAGCCCTCCGGCTCGCAGGTTTTCACAGGCCCTCACGGAAGCATCTTCCGCCGTAATGCTGCGGCCAGCCTCGCGCTCCTGGACTTGAACCTTCAAAACCTCCTCCTCGACCTTCCGCTGCAGCTTGGACAGCGCCAGCTCTTCTGCGCTGCCGTTGATGATGACGTCTGCAAGCAAGGCAGCCTCTCGAAACACTCAACGAAAGCAACGAGCACCCGTGCAAGCAACGAAAAGACCTGCAAAGTTCAGAGATCCCAAAGAGTTTGTACAGGTCTGCACCGTGAGGCTAGGAATCCCAACCTATGGCTAACGAAGACCTCACAAAATCTCGCAACACATCACAACATTTTTTGCTGCACGGTAACCGAACCCAAGGCCACAGCTTGGCCGCCAGTGATTTCTGCCACTGTACAGAGGAAGTCCCGCGCATGTGCGTAGGCACCCAATGCCGGCTCGCAACCGACACTGTACCTCTGTGTCAACTCAAGTGCCAACTCCAGCGCCTATTTGCAAAGATCCGAGGGTCACCATATTGCGTCAAACAATGTCAAACACACCAAGGCCGAAATCCAACAGCGTTTCTGTGCAGCTCGGAGCACACGGTGATGCCATGCGCCGCCATGCTGTGGAGGATGTCCAGCGGGTCGCGTCCGTCAGGGTCGCCGTTTGGGAAGCCGTCGCCGCTCCTATGACCGTGATTTGGAACTGCAACGCTCCACATTCACGGTTTCAAAGAATTTCGAATTGTCACTGGGCTGCGTTCCTCCTGTGATTGTTTCAGAGTCGCAAAATCTGTGGGGCGAAGGATAATGGCCAGCTTTTCAGAGGCCCGGGCCACGCCTCTCAACCACTGTCTTGTCAGTTATTGTCCGATTTTTCCTCTGTGACTGCGTGGATTCTGTCGTTGACTCCAAGGTCTGGTCATGCAAGAAAATCACAGTGCAAACCAACGCTTCTCTAAACCTGCAAGTGAACCTAAAGAAGCATCAAGCAGACGTTGAGGAGGCATGCTGCCGTCGCCGATCGCTGTGCTGCACTACTGCCCAAGCTTTGCCGCCCCTCACCACTCGCTCGGACTGTTGAATTGATTTCGACCCGCATCAGTTCTTTCAGGAGCCCACCCAAATTGGTTGCCCTCTCGTCCCTCCCCGGTCTGTCGAAAAAACTTCAGATTTAACAGGCACAGCCTAACACAGAACCGCCAAAGCCAAGACAGCCGAAATGAGCTTCAAGACGCCACGCGTTCAGCAACAAAACCGTGCACTGCTCAGGTTGCTGCGTTCGTGGTCTGTTAAAACGCTTCGTGCCAAGGCACGGCTCCAGCCCGTGCGGCGGGGCATCAGCAATCAACACCTGCATGGCAGGAAGGCCCTCCCACAAACAGGAGTGACGACCCGAATTGAATAGAACCATCCAGCAAAGATGCGCAGATCTTGGTGGAGTTCGGCCGCCAAGGAAGGTGTAACGCATCGTGCAAGCCTTGACAGCAGGTTTTGGAGGCATGGGCTCCCAGGTCCCACCAGTCTTTGCTTGTCGGATTCAACGGCTCCATGCATGGGTCCAGCCTGCGGTGACTGCCTCGGGCCCATCGCCACCACCGGCTGCCTTGGTGGGAAATGGCAAGTCTTGGTTGTTCATTCAATGGATTTAGGGATCTGGCCGGAAAATGCAAGTAACACACCGTAAGAAAACAGGATGTGCGAAGGTGTCCAGAGATGTACCCAGACCAGTTGCTTTCATAGTCTCAACATAGTGGGACATCTGGGCCAAATCGGTCGTGAACGGGTAGCACTGCGTAATGTAAGTTCTGTCCTGCACATGTTGCACAGTAGCCTGCAAGCAACTCTCACGGCTCGCCGGCTGTCGCTCTGACACGCTGCATTTGCCTGCGGCGGATGGTCGCGGTAGCTAATCAAGCCAAACTGAACCTGACAGGTCCAGCGCAGCTCGTTTTCCCCTTGGTTGTGCGCTTCGAGCAACAGTGACCTAGCGACTTTGCAGTTCTGGCCTTGGCTCCATGTTTTTGCGAGATCTTGCCTACGATGGACTGGATGTTGTCCTCATAACATAAGGCTCCAATGATCAAACCTGCTCTCAAGTTCGCACTGCCACTTTTCTGAAACTTTCGAAACTGGGAAGCCGAGTGATCTCAGGGTTTCTCAGGTCCTGTGCTGCCTTGATGTACTGACCCATGGATCCGGTGCAGTCACCTAAGATGTTCTAAGCTGATGCAGCTAATGTCCCCCTATCCGCGGTGAAACGCTTGCTTTCACTTCATGAGCTCAGCCCAGCGGCAGATGAAACACAGGTCCAGTTCGGCATCTGGATCGAGACCACAAGCTCCTGTGGCTCAAAAACGTCACTCCACCGCTGTCTTACGAAGCCGTCAGCGTGGAGCGGCGAACGAGACAAGTCCTGCTTTCGCAGCATCATCCACAACAATCCAGTCCTGCTGATACTGCACAATTCAACAGTTCAACAACTCCGCAGCCACAGTTCGCACTTACAAGTTCGATCCAGTTCGTTACTGAGTTACTGAGTCCAGGCCCTGCCCGGTTCCTCAGAGCTGCGGACGTCCGAGGGTGCATCGACAGGGCCAGATGTCACGGGAGCTTTCTCCGAGCCTTCCTTCATATCAGCTCGGCTCGACATTGGAACACGTCTGCAGGCACAGCAGCTTAGACCCAAATGGCTTCCGTTCAGCAAACAAGACGCATTGGTTCAGCCACGCATGAACAACTAACATCAACGAACTTGATTTCTAACATCTGCTCTTAGCAGGCACACATTCTCGGCAGTGCCTGGAGTCCAGTGTCGGCGCGGGCTGCAGGATCACACGTCCGGCAACCTGCCTATCCTTACACATAAGTGGCGAGCCACATCAGATGAGATGAGTGGAGCAGCTTCAGCGAGCAGATGAAGCAGCTGTGGCTTTCACTCTCGATGGTCAAGAAGTCAAGAAGCAAGTAAGGGCCACGCCACCAAGTGAGCCATGAGTGTGAAGCCGGAGCCGGGTCCGGTTGGCACAAAGAGACTTTTGCGATGTTGAAGGCGCGCGTGTGCAAGGTTCAGGCTCTGGTCGATCGATCTTCAATCTTTAGCGAAGCGGACTTGGGACTCTTGGGGTCTCACTCTTCGTGCTTCAGCACAAATAAATGGCAGCAGCTGGCACAGGGCATGTCAAGGCTGTCTTGACTTCGACTTTCAAATCTTTATCCTCCTGGCCGCATCAAGCCTCATCCAGCATCGCCTGACTGTTTCGTCTTTTCGCCCGTGACGCAGTTAGGAGTACAGAGGTTAAGAGGTCAATATGCTCCAAGCGGCGCACATTTTCTCATCCCCGGCGTTGCACCCAAGCAGTGCTGCGAGAACTTGTTTGGAACTACAGGAAAGCTTTGTCCCGGGTCTAGGGGGTAGATTCACCCCGTGCGAATGGTATCCAGGTAGAAACTTCGAGATGGTTCTAGACACTATCCTGTCACGGCTGCGAGTCGCTGAGTCCCCTGTTTCCCTGGCAGCGTAAATTACACATGTCAAGCTTGCCCACAACATCATTGTTGCCTTTGCTCTGCTTTCAGTCCTGCTCGTCACTGCCAGTCCTAACAGCATTCAACCGGACCTCGTTGCCCGAGTGCCTCTTTGTTGTCCGCTTGTATGCCCTAGGCACAGATCTCTCGTCAGGCCCTTGACCGGTGCACACCTCCAGCGAAAACTTGATAGCTGAGGCAAGAGCAGCATGTAGTAGAAACCATCCCACATCCATCGCCCGGCCTGCACTCAAGCCCCATTCCTTCACACACAAACTTTTGCGGTCAGGCTCCTGTCCAAGCTAAAGATATGAATGAGATATGAAAGCTTTACAGACAGTGTTCTCCTCACGTGCATGAAAAACTTGGAGCATCAGCCGAGTAAGTCATAAGTGAGCAGTAGCCTGAACTCTCAAGAAAACCAACTTTGGCAACACGAACCAGTAGGCATGCATGCCTTGGCAAAAGTAGGTCCTTGACTTTTAGTGACGCTTCAAGAGTCGAGAAGCTGCCAAGAAAGCCGCTAATACTGTCGCAACCATAGCTCAAAGCTCTCCTGGCGGCCCCCGTCTGTCTGTTCTATCCAAGACATCCTGTGCCATCCTAAGCCGGGTAAGCGCTAGGTACCATTCCCATCTCGAGCCATTTTCCTGAACCGAGAAAAAGGCATTGTTTCAAGAAGACTCAGCACATCCCGAGCAAGCGAAAGCTTTGTCTGAATGCTGTCAATTATTCCACATGTTAAGGGTATGTTTGGCAGATCGGCTCTGCAAACTGTCAGGAACAGGACATGATATCAAGTGTATTGAGGCATCTCTTTTGAACATGCAAGTGGAGGATTCAACGTCCCCTAGTACCCCGAGCCCTCACACGCCTATACTGCCTTTGACCATCAGCTTCTATGGTTTCCCTCGCTCTCATTGGCCTTGGACCCCATTGGCGTTAGAGGACGTCTTGGAGGCTGCGCGATCTTTTGTGGCTAGCAACCACTCCCCCTCCAAAGCTGCAGCTTATCCGTACGCAAGCCGCCTGCAGAGCACCCGGACCATCTTTGTGGGGACTCCTTTGCTGCTCGGGACTCAAGTCCATCGATGTCATGCCGAGCAATTTTCAAAGACTGAGACTGCATACACCCCTACAAAAGCCAGTGCAGCCCGGAAACATGATGTAGGTCCTCGGATCCACAAACGCCTCGGTTCGGTTGATATTTGATAAAACTCTGCGTAAATCAAGTCAAGCACCCGTAGCGCAACAAAAATCAGCCATGCGGGTCAGTAGAACGAGCCAACACGTGCTAGCTTCCTTTACGGCCAAATACCCACAACGTGTTTGAAGGCAGCATTCTGCAACTGCAAACGTTCTTCGTGTTCATACTTGCGTTGCCCCGCGGACTATTGATGGAGCCATACGAAGAAAGCTCTGAATCTCTCAAAGCGCACCAACGAATCTCTTCAGCACTCAAACAAGATGGTGTGAGAATGTCGCTCGTGGCTAGCACCCGCAGCACAACGAATGTCAGCATTGCGGGTCAATAGAACGAGCCTAAACCATCTGCCAGCTTCCTTTACAGTCAAATGGCCACATGCAGCCACAGCTGAGTATCTGGCTGGCTCCACGAATGAAGCTTGCAACAACAACACTCTCTCGCTGCAACAACCACACCGTGCTTGAAGGCAGCAAAACGAAACAGCAGAGGTTCCTTGTGTTCCTACTTGCGTTGCCGCGCGGACTATTGATGGAGCCATACGAAGAAAGCTCTGAATCTCTCAAAGCGCACCAACGAATCTCTTCAGCACTCAAACAAGATGGTGTGAGAATGTCGCTCGTGGTTAGCACCCGCAGCACAACGAATGTCAGCATTGCGGGTCAATAGAACGAGCCTAAACCATCTGCCAGCTTCCTTTACAGTCAAATGGCCACATGCAGCCACAGCTGAGTATCTGGCTGGCTCCACGAATGAAGCTTGCAACAACAACGCTCTCTCGCTGCAACAACCACACCGTGCTTGAAGGCAGCAAAACGAAACAGCAGAGGTTCCTTGTGTTCATACTTGTGTCGCCCCGCGGACTATTGATGGAGCCATACGAAGAAAGCTTTGAATCTCTCAAAGCGCACCAACGAATCTCTTCAGCACTCAAACAAGATGGGGTGAGAATGTCGCTCGTGGTTAGCACCCGCAGCACAACGAATGTCAGCATTGCGGGTCAATAGAACGAGCCTAAACCATCTGCCAACTTCCTTTACAGCCAAATGGCCACATGCAGCCACAGCTGAGTATCTGGCTGGCTCCACCATTGAAGCTTGCAACAACAACACTCTCTCGCTGCAACAACCACACCGTGCTTGAAGGCAGCAAAACGAAACAGCAGAGGTTCCTTGTGTTCCTACTTGCGTTGCCGCGCGGACTATTGATGGAGCCATACGAAGAAAGCTCTGAATCTCTCAAAGCGCACCAACGAATCTCTTCAGCACTCAAACAAGATGGTGTGAGAATGTCGCTCGTGGTTAGCACCCGCAGCACAACGAATGTCAGCATTGCGGGTCAATAGAACGAGCCTAAACCATCTGCCAGCTTCCTTTACAGTCAAATGGCCACATGCAGCCACAGCTGAGTATCTGGCTGGTTCCACGACTGAAGCTTGCAACAGCAACAATCTCTCACTGCAAGACCAACACCGTGTTTGAAGGCTCTGTGGATTTGGGTTCAACTGCATGAAGCAACAGCTGGGCAGAGCAATGTCCTCTACATATTGGCCGAATGAAGTTACAACTCGATGAGTAGATCTAAACGAAAATTGAATCCTGCATTGAACAGTTGAACAATTGTGTAAACATGTGGTATGTACGTTGAACTGTTTCGTTGATATGTACGTTTGCTCATGCTTGCTCATGTTTGCTCATGGTGGCTCTTGAGGCCCTGCCTGTAAACTCCTTGGCTCCCCGACTGCACTGCTCAAGGCATCAAGCCCAGCCACACGAATACCAAAGCGCCGGTCAATGATGACCCCAGCACCTGGAAGACTGACCCGTAAGTTTCAATTCGTGTCAATCAATGTCTTTTGCTTCAAGAATGGTTGCGGACCGTTTCGGATGCTAACGGCTAACGGTTTTCATTGTTCTTGTTCAGTCGGTTTTTTGGGCGGCGGAATGCTACTGCGAATTCGATGTACACACAGTATTGATTGGCTTTTCAACCGTGGTTTCTTGATGTTGACAACCCCGAAGTCTACTGACTTGCTGTCGGCATGTCGAGCGCTAAGTACGGGTATGGAAAAGTAAGGCGTGGGGTGCGCTGTACATGGACTGTGCGCCTCAATCAGCCCGCCAGTACGGTGGGCTCTTCGGAAAAATGCGCAGACCTGGACCCTGGTCTGGAACCTGTGCTTATTCTGCCCCGGTAAACAAAACTATACGGGTGACGCAGGCAAATCAGCCAAGAATAACTCAGCAAAACATGATGGCACATCAAGAAACAAGACAGGGCAAATCAGAAAATATCAGGACACGAATCAGAAACCAAGTCACCAACAGTGGGCGCAATGCATCTGTATCGGTGCAGAGTTCCCTGGCGGGCCATCTCCGTAGCCTAACCCTAACCCTAACAATAATCCATAAAAAAAAACCCTAAGCCCTAAAAACCCTGAACCCTAAACCCAGCCCTAAAGCCCTAAACCCTTAAAGAACCCTAAACCCTAAAAACCTTAAACCCTAAACCCTCAAAACCCCTGAGCCCTAAAACCTAAACCCTAAAAATCCCTCAACCCTAAAACCCCTAAACCCTAAAAGCCCTAAGCCCTACACCCGAAGAACCCCTGAGCCCTAAACCCAAAAAACCCTAAACCCTAAAAACCCCTCAACTTCAAACCCCGAAAACTCTAAACCCTAAAAGCCCTAAACCCTAATAAATCCAAACCGTAAAACACCCTGAACCCAAAACCCAAAAATCCCTAAACATTGGCACTTCTTTTCAAACCCATCACAAGCACTGTGCTTGCAAATGGAGCGTTTATTTATTCTTTTGCGAACCCATCATGTGAGTGTTGTGTTTGCAAATGGGAGGGGGGGCTAAAAAGCACTCAACCCTAAACCCAAAAAACTCCTGAAGCCTAAAAACCCCTAAGCCCTAAAGACCCTCAACCCTAAAGACCCCGAAGCCCTAAACCCCAAAAGCCCCTAAACTCAAAACCCAAAACCCTAAAACCCCCTAAAACTTAAAAAGCCCCTGAGGCCTAAACCAAAAACCCTAAACCCTGAAAACCCCTAAACTCTAAACCGCCAAAAAACCCTACAAAAAACCTAAACCCTAAACCCTAAACCCTAAACCCTAAACCCTAAAAAACCCTAAACCCTAAATCCTTAAAAACCCCCTAAACTAAAGCCTCAAGCCCTCAACCCAAAACAAAACCTGAGCCCTAAACCGAAAAAACCCTAAACCCCAAAGCCCCCTAAGCACTCAACCCGAAAACGCCCCTTGACCTACACCCTAAAAAGCCCTAAACCCTAAACCCTGAAAACCCCTAAGCCCTAAAGCCTAAAAGCCCCTTATCTAAACATAGCAAACCTTGCTGCTCGAGCGCAAGTGATAATTTGTTACCATAGGGGTCTGTATAGGGGTCCATCGACGCCTATCACAGCGGGGTACTTAGTAGACCTATCTTCAACAAATGTGTCTTGGGGGAGATCCCTAAACCTAAACCCTAAAAGCACGCCCTTAAACCCTATCATGTTAGCTTAGGCTAGGTTAGGTTAGGGGCCTGGCCTCTTGCATTGCAGATTCCGTTAGGTTAGGTTAGGTCCACTTAGCTTAGCTTGGGTTGGGGTTGGGGTTGGGCTCTTCTGTCCTTGCTCGCCCACTCCAGGCTACGGCGATGGCCCGCCAGTGAGAGAGACCGATGCACACGCGTGGCTGTCCATGCATGCTGAGTCGCCCTCGCTGTTTGCTGATTCTGCCCGTGCTGATTTCTGAACCATGGGTGTGTAATTCATGGTCTTGTTTTCCGATATAGGCATCATCCAAAACTACACTATACCTCAAACGATACGTCCTTGCTGGTTCTGTGGGTTGCATACGCATGTGACCAGCCACGGTGGGCAAGGGCTTGTGGGGGACGACAACAAGGCCGGGATGCTCCGCAACTTGCAGACGGCTTCATGTCTCCAGTTTGTGGAGGTCTAGCTGCGTCTAGCTATTTAAGTTCTAGACTATAGCAGAGCGTCTCACAAGTGATGGAGCATCTTGAGATTCAGATGCTTGACTGCCCTTGCCTGCCTCTCCTTCCCCCCCCCCCCCCCCCCCGGTATGGGATCTACTATGTGACACCCCCTCGCGTTGACCCTAAACAATCTGCGTAAAGGACGTCGCTCCGTGAATTTCCGTGCAGTAGGGGAGCGCAGCAGCACACACACCTCTTCCGGTGCCAAGTGCACGCTCTGCGTTGCCTACGTGGATGGTGGTATTCGTCGGCGTGGCATGGCGTCGCCAAGGTCGTAGGAACTCTGAGAATAGTGTATCACTGCGGTGATTCCAGCCTTTCAACATTTGGTTCGCTGGACAAGGAGTGGGAGATCGGCTGCCCTGCCATATGCCCGACGTTGCTTGACCTTGCCCGACCTTGCCCCACCTTGCCCGACCTTGCCCCGCCTTCCCCGCCTTTTGCTCTGAGCTTGACTAATCTGTGGGCTTGATGATGGAATGGTGAACTTCGCTCCGTTTTTAGTTGGTCTGTTCGGCTCCAGCTGTAAGCACTATCATACCAGAGCCTGGATGCCCATGCAGCCGAAGCCGGATCACTACGCTCCTGCCCGCCGGTGCGCACAAGAGCAAGCATGGTCAAAAGCTAAGCTTGCTTTTGCAACGCTGCGACAATCTCTGCAGATTCCCGGAATCCCTGCCTGATGTCACAAGACACCGGAACGACCACATAGCGGTACAAGCGCTGCTCCCTGCCACCATATGCCACCACATGCCACACGCACGAGGAATAGCAGGACCCCCTAGTTTTTGACTCTCGGGGATATTGGAAGGCTTGAAGCTCGCTGAAGTGTTGCCTTGATGGTTCCTGATTGTGCAACCTGATGGCTGATAACCACCTGCAAAC